GTTTTTAGAAAATGCTTATAAAAGCCCACACAGCTCTTGATTTTCTTCAATATGCTTGCACCTGATCACTCTTGGAGAACTCTTAGCATCCTCTTTGAACTAATCACTTTTTTATTTTGGTGATAGACGGCAGGAAAAGACATTGATGAAGCTAATAGTTGATGAGAAGACTGATAAGGTTATTGGAGCATCCATGTGCGGTCCTGATGCAGCTGAGATCATGCAGGCAAGTTTTCCTTAATAATAGCTTCTACCAGTTATTTTACTTCCTTCTAGCTGCTCTAGTGAGTTGTGCATGGGTGTCGAGAACAAAATTCATTTATAGGGTAGTTAAAAAGATTTGGGTTAATTAAGACGATTGCACGTCTGAATAAGAGATTTAGGGTAGAAGAGAACCTGGTTTGAGTTTGATAAGTATTTAGTATTGTAACTGGATTAGAGTTTTATCCGCAAGTGTCTCATACTCTAAAGTATTTATTTTATATGGCTTAATGCAGGGGATTGCAATTGCGCTCAAGTGTGGAGCAACCAAAGCACAATTTGATAGCACGGTAAGTCATACATCTTCCTGGAAAAACGTATAATAAAGGAAAAGAAGTCCAAACACTTGGGTTTCACTTTCACCAGTTTAATGTTTTCTCTTTAACTAAAGATCAAATTAAACATTGTGAACAATACACAGGTTGGGATACATCCATCTTCTGCAGAGGAATTTGTGACAATGCGCAGTGTGACCAGACGCATTGCCTACAAGCCCAAACCTAAGACGAATCTATGAACCGCAAAAATCTAAAGAGACAATAGCATGAAAATTCGGTACACTTAGTTTGATCAGAGAGTCAGACAAAGACATGAGTTTAATCATACTCGTGTCTCAATAAAGGATTTGTAATTTTTGTTTGTTTGTTTGATGTTTCTCTACATACTTAACTTGAGAAAACATAATTCCTTCTCTTATTGCTAGTGGAACTTTATCACCAAATATCTCCATCATCTTTCAGTAAACCCCTCTTGGTCATATCATTTACTTCAGTCCTGTACTCGCATATGGTCTAACTAGTAATAACTAGAACCAAATCGAATTAAATTGAATCAAACTGAACTAATACAAGTCGATGGTGACATTTGTAAATGAGCAGTCTAAAGATGTTGTTTTATGCAAAACAAAGCTCCTTGAGAAGTTGCAATAATCAGATTCCATGATCAAAAGCTCTTACAGAGAACAGAAGATACATCAAGTGTCCAAAATAGTCTTTATTATTAGGACTGAGACTCAAACTGTATGTATAGAAAGAAAATAATTATAAGTAGAGAATGCAACCAATATGGCAATATACACATAACACATCAACTGCTCTGGTCACCAAAAGTTTCATCCTTCTCTTAAAACATTCAAATGACACTGGTTTCAAAGGCGGCCAGTTGAGAAACACGGCTTGATACACACAAAAAGATGTAAACGAACGACCTGGAGACAGAATCGGTGTCCGGTTGCCGTTTTTATGCTCCGTTTCATCTCTTAGTCAAGCTTCACGTTTGAATATAGAAGAGTATCCTTCGTCAAAGGCATGTTCATAAGGAAGTACACCTGCAACCAACATGACAAGTATGTCAACTTCCAGTGACTTAATACATTCAGTGTTCAGCTACAAAATAATATATACAAACTACGATTGAGTTCTTCGATAGGCCACTTTATGTGGAAAAATTCAACTTTACATTGGCCAAAGAATCTGCTTGGTAATGGTAATGAGATCTTACCCCAAGGATAGTTGCAATGAGAAGAATGATTCCAGTCAACCATGCAAGAGTCAGCCTAACAAGTATAACCTCAGCGATAATTGCTGCACTTGGAATTCCCTCTACTTCCGCCATTGAGCGTGCAGATGAACGAGAGGACCCAAAGCTCAAAAGCTCTGATTCTTGATTTACTCTTTCATCAAGGACGATAACCCCAACAATTTGGCCTGCAAGAGCCAATACATCTCTCAGCTTACATAAATACAGTTAAGAAAAAGACAAATGTTCAAGAGAATGAGTCCACCATGTTGAACTACTTTCTAACACAGATCTTCAAAAACGAGTTTATTAAATCACAGAGACAATTCACCTTTATGAGATGTCTGCAACAGATTGAATAACTTTGATAGTGTGGAAAGCAATACATCCATCCCTTGCTTAGCCATACCTTGTCCATACTCCTGTGCTAAAGCCTGTAATTTCCAGAGAGAATAAATTATATTAGACACATTGACAACCGTTGCAAACATATATAAAAGATTAGTACAACAACAAGATGGTTGAACAATTAGACACTTTCAATGATAATATAAACTTAAGCAGCAGCAAAGACTACAAGATATCACATTTATTGATGTTTTGATCACGTAAATATGAGAAAAACTCATTAAGACGGCAGCTCAAGAGATAAACCCATTACAAGGTCCTTATTAGTCTTGCGATCCTTTGGATAAAACAAGGATAAAGATAATTTAAACGATGGCAACCAGCTCAAAACATTTCCAGTTCCCTGAAATCTTATCATGATTCACTTTCGAATCCTATATTATTCCTAAAAAAGCTAAGCAGGAGTAACCCGAAAAGAATGCACAACTAACAACCATTATTACGGGTCAACAGAAATGTCATAAGTTTTCAAGAGACTAAAGAAGACACATTTACGTATGCATTGAACTCCACCCTCTAATTTATAAATCAAAACTAAGACAGTGAGGAAAGGGAAAAACACAGAACAACGAAAAAATGAATGCCCTTACATCGATACCACCAAAGCGTCCAACCGTTAATTCAGCAGTTCTCTCAATACCATGAGATAATTCGTCATGAACTCTGACTGCCCGTCTGATATTCTGATATAGACCCAAAAGGTTCAATGCAAATTTCCTCTCTGCTTCCTGCCCAGGGAAACAAAAGTCATATGCCTTCTTCATATAGAAATCACAATATCTACAGGCAATGGAGGAACCTATACAATTAAGATTATTACCTTCTCTAAACTGAACTCCGCATTAGCACCCCCAGCCAGAGGGATACTCAAGAATCCAGACAATGGTTCAGCAGAGCCAGCAACATATGATCCACCCAACCAAGATGCCTATGGACATTAAAACCATAACTGGTGGTCACATTAAAATTAACAAGGAAAAAAATAGTGTTTTGCTGTTTGCACTTGGAATGACAGGTGCTGTTAACTTACAAAATCATTAATGTCCTTGTCAGTCACATCAGATGAGGGTTCATTGACAGACACAACAACCACTTCACTGTCTGCAGAATATAATATCCAAAGTAAGACTTAAACCCATATTGGAAAAAAATTAGAAACTAGTCATGCTCAGATGGTTCTGGTATTCAAGCTGTCAGGGCACCTGGAAGTTCAGTATCAGCTTTGTATGAATCAGCCTTAATACTGCTCCTTATGGCATTGCCCAAGAAAGAATGACTAGGGGAGGTTTCCACAAGCATATCTGCAAGTAAATACAAACACTTGAATATTTTTACAATTAAATTTTTTTTGGTTCATGTCAGAAAACTAAAGCTTTCTAGTCACATACCATCAGCTCCAGCGATTTCTAGCACAAAAGCAGCGCGAGGTCTCTCAAATGGATTAGGTTTTAGAATCTTGTTCAGCTATAACAAAATGCAAAACAAATAAATGATGAAGTACAAATCTTTAACCCACAAAAGTAAAAGAGAAAACTTTACTAGAACACTAAAAAAACCTTGGATGAGCCATCAGCTGTCAAAGTTGCTGAAGGTGCAAAACCCAACAAGGCAGACACTGCTGACGATATTTCAGCAGGCGACAAGGGAACTGCCTGTGGATTTCAATTCAAAGAAAGAGATTAACTAAAATTCATCAAAAGAAGTATAAAGTCACAAAGTTGAGTACTACTAGTCAAACAAGAATTTGGAATCTGTCCATTGATCTCTCATCAAGATCAAAAAAAAAACAAAACCAGACAACTGGTGCCACTAAGACCAAACAATGGATGTTATTTTATTACTTCAATGAAATATTATCTCCACCTACTACATTGATCTGATCTAAGCTCAAACGAGAGAACACAAGTTCTAAACAAAACCTATTGACCTATCCCGAAGAAACGTAACCAGGACACTCGTATAATTTCCAGAAACGATCTTAGATTGAAATATAAAATGATCAAATTTGAGCTTTTTTCAAATCGGTCATCCACACATTTGGGACCAAAATCATTACCTCGCTGGATGATCGTGGACGAAGAAATTGATTATTGGATCCATCAATGAAGAAAACAGAACCACTTGCTTCTCCCTATACACAAACAAAAGTCAGATCCATGTCAAAACGAGGGAACATACAAGCAATTGCGTAAACGAGAGCAAGACTCAAAGGAACAAAAACGAACCCTATAATTGAGGGTTAGAAGAATAGAGACGACGAATACGTAGAAAGCTTTCATCTTTCACAACAAGAGTCGACGGAGAGAGAAAGAGAAAGAGATGGATCGGTGTTATCAGGCGAGATATGTTCTAATGGAGGAGACGAATCCAGATTTCAGAATCAAAGTGGTAGACACAACTCCGAAAACGATGTCGTTTTTCTTACATAAAATCCAAAATCCGGTTATTTCAATTCGGTTTAGTGAAAAAGGCTGATTTTATGTAGTAAAATCACAAAACTGGACAAACAAACGACAGTTAGTACAAATAGGGGTATAATAGTAAAATCACAAAACTGGTTCGTTTTTAGAGAAGCGGTCCCGATTCATCATCACATTATTTTCCATTTCCAGAAACGGCAACGATGGAGACAACAATCGGAGATTCTTCGCCGGAGAAGATGGAGATGTGACCGGCATAGAGCTCAAGTAGACCTAATCTCCATACGATTCATAGCTTCAAAGCTTCAGATCTGTTTCCTTGGATCGGTTAAAAACGACTTTTGAGGTTCCTTTTTCTTTCCACACCATTGCGCTCGACTCGTACACCGAACTCGCTGATCGGAAAGTACGCCGGAGTAATTTGATGAGTGATTGACTTCGATTTGTAGCTGAGTGTGTCACTGTTTTAGTGTTTGAGGAAGAAGCTTACGAGTGTGTGAAGAGAAAAATGCCGAGGCCTGGACCTAGACCTTACGAATGTGTGAAACGAGCTTGGCATAGCGATCGTCATCAACCTGTTCGTGGTTCAATTATTCGTCAGATTTTCAGGTTTTTGTCACTCATCTTTCTCAAAACCGTACACTAGGGTTTCTTTGTTTCTTAATTTGGGGGTTTTTTGCTTGATTTTAGGCTTGCCATGGAAGCACATAGCGCGGCGACGAGGAAGAACAAAGAATGGCAGGAGAAATTGCCTGTGGTTGTGTTAAAAGCTGAAGAAATCATGTACTCTAAAGCCAATTCCGAGGTTTTAAACCAGTTTTCTTCTCTTTATGTGTGTTTTAAGTTTCACAGAATCTGACTTTGGGTTTCGATTTCCATTAGGAAGAGTATACAGATGCTGATACTATGTGGAATAGAGTAAATGATGCCATTGATACAATTATTAGGAGAGATGAGAGTACAGAAACTGGTCCTCTGTTACCTCCTTGTGTTGAAGGTAAATTGTCTTTTTGTTTCTCTCTTTAACTGTTTCAATGGCTCTAGTGATCCTTATGGAAACTGCTTAGAAGTTAGTGATTTGTACTGTTTATTGTTTGTTAATGTGGGTTTTTTTTATATGGTTAGCTGCTCTTAATTTGGGATGTATTGCTGTAAGAGCTTCAAGAAGCCAACGACATAGTAGCGTAAGGACTTACCTCGGTCCAAAACTTCAGGAATCTGTTTCGGCGACGACTAATGAGCCGCCGTACCATCATGAATATCATCAGCAAGCTCAACAATCATCCATCAAACCAAGCCAGACAGCTCAAGCTGCAATCCCTGTGGATTTGCTTGATAACAGCAACAAGCGTGTAGCTACTCCTCGTGGTTACCCGTTTCTACATGAATCCATGCAGATGCATCAAAAGCCATTGGCAATAAGACAAGGAACTAGCACTGCTCCTGGTCCTGCTCCAGCTCCAGTCAACTTGGGTTCGGTCTATCCTTTGTATTACGGAGGTAATAATCAGACTCAGCAAGCCGACATGCCTTTCAGAGTCCCTGAAGCTCCCATAATCATTGGCATGCCTATTGGTATAAAGCCCCCAGAAGAAGCAACAGAGAGGGTCTGTGATTTATCCTTGAGGCTTGGTATATCTTCAGAACCGTCTACAAGAATAGATATCGGGTCTAGTCGGGCTTACCCGGGAAGAAACCAAGAAGAGTTATGTTTATTCTCAGAGGTAAAGAAGAATGATAGGTTTGACTGGTTTTCAAATAGTGAAGGTCAGAATTCAGATTCGAGAGTTAAAAAGCACAAAACTTTGTGTGGAGATTTCCTTTAGGACTTGCTTAGTTGTTGTTACTCAAATCTTGTAAAAGCTTCAGGTTTATTGGTTTGATATTTTGTTGACTCTACTAGTCTTAGCTTTAGCTTCAGTTTTTAAAATAAAGATCCCTGGATTGATCTTAAGTATGATAAGCTAATCTGGAATCCAAGAATTAGTTAATCCATATATATATGATTTTTTTTTTTTTTAAATGTGAAATTAATAGAAAAAAATAAGATTATTTACAAGTGGTGAAAGAGAAAAGTGAAACATTACAACAAAGTAAATTGGAGAGCAAACAGAGTTTATATATGAGTCAATCATTTTGAACTGTTTCTGTGATTGTTTTAACTTTTTTTCGTACATTACCAGTGACCACTTTAGTGTAGATATTTCGTGCGTATCACTTTTACGACATTTGTGCTAAAAAAAGAAGGAAAAATGATTGTTCCTAACGTCGGCGATGGATGCTCGACTAACCAACAAAGAACGTACACTATTGTCATTGGCGTGAACGTACATTGCATGGGAGAGAGAGACTCAGAGACCAAATTTGTTTTTACTTTTTATTTTATAGGATTAATTTGCCTCTGATAAGATGTTTAATTTTGAAATTTTTATAATCAGAATACATATATAGACGTTTAACATTGTTTATAATCGAAAAAAAGGAAAATGAGACTCTTTTTTAAGAAAACAAAGGTGTCGTAGAAAGATGATATTGAACTTTATCTCACCAAATTAATTAGCACTTTGAGGGTTCATTGTAGCTATAGCTCATCATTAAACAATTTGTAAATCTTGGTTGATGTTAAATATTTAAACCAGTTCTAATAAGAAAATTCTTGAAAACAAAAAAAATATATCCCTTTATAAAAAGTATTGCACACTCGTGATTCACGAGTCATGAACATGCAATAAATTAAAAGGAGCTTCTATATTTGAAAACTCCAAAATACCAAAATAACGTAGAAAAGTGCATGATTTTTTTGGAGATCCTACGTACCCATCTCTCACGTAAGATTACCGTGATACCTATCACAATCAAATTCAACTTTCTTTCTCCCTTATTTCTTTGGCGTATCTTAATTAAGAATTATCTGCTTTTGTTTTTGTTTTTGTTTTTGTTTTTGTTATAACAATTATGTTTTCTTTTAACCGTGAAGTTTTGGACTTCTCCACCGCCAATGAATTTTAAAACCGTACGTAGTAGTTTTTTTCAATTCTTACCAATACAACAATGAAAACACTTTCTTTTTTTTTTGGATGCAAAATAACAATGAAAACACTTTTTTGATTTTATCTAAGTTAGCCACAATCGTTGAGTGCCACACCCTTAAACAATTAAAAAAAAAAAAATTAGCAAGAATAAAATCAAACAATTTTTCGAAACTTAGCAAGGATATTGGGTTCATTAACACCTTTTAACCTTTTAGAGTTAAAGTTATATATATTTGGGTTAAATATCGTCATTTAGTTTAGATTCATTTTCTTGGCGACGCATGTAATTAGTTTTGGTGATTCTCTTGGCGTTATTGTTTAATTTAAGTCTTATTTTCGTGGATCGGTTTTAAGGATATTTGGGATTGACCTTTTTTGGCCAAAATATCTATGAACATGTGTGACCATTCGTTACTTATATTTTTATCATTGGATAGTATGACGCTCACATGACAGAATGTCAAACAAGTAAAGATTAACAAGATCCATCCAATAATTGCTTGTCCGGTCCTTGATCAGAATTTGGGGAAGTAAGTCATCCTTACTCTTAAGAGCACTCTTAAGAAGATCTAGTTTTCATATATACCTAGAAAATTTCTCAAAACCTATTTACGTGCGAGCTTTAATATGAATTTAAAATTATTCATGTATATCTTTCACATGTGTCGGGATCAAATAAGATCATCAAACGAGTTGCTCTATGTTCATCGGAGAAAGAAAATGCATAAAGTTGAAAGAGTTATGTAGAGATATCAAAGCAATATATATATTAACGATCCATACGATCGTTATGTCTATTATTTGTTATATAACACACACAAAAAATTAGGTAAAGAGCATTTGAGTTCCTCGTACAAACCCGTCATCACCCATCCATGCTCTACCAGATGTGGTAGCTAGCCCGAGGTAGGTAAATATAAATACGATCAATCTCTCAAGGAGAAAGGGATTTAATTTATTATTTTCTCTATTATGTATATCTCCAAGAATTTTTCTTTGAACTTGATACTTCGTCTCAGTGTCTTTCGATCACTTTTCCGATCATATATTTCCTCATCTCTATACACTATAATCACCACATTTCTTGTTTTCCACCGAAGCCCACCAACCTAGCTGAAAACGTTGTGAATCACTTTTCCTCAGATCCGGCGTTAGTACTAAAACCCGCATTCCTCGTTTGTTTTCTTATTTTTCTGGTTCCAAAGATGTCTTGTAGTCTAGTTTACTGATTTGAGCATGAGAATATCCTTGGAAAACACTTCATCATATTATCTTGACTTCGATATGTTTGTTATTTTCTACGGAAGATCCTTTAGTCTTGAACCATTAGATGAAATATTTACTAAAAAATTTCAGTTTCAAATTGTATTTTAAATGATTTATGTTATACTAATTTTTCTTAACTAAATATAAAAATCTATATATACTCAAATATAATCTTTCTTGTAATCTTATAACATTTAAGTAATGAAATAATAAGCATACAAATGTAAACCTAAGAAATATTCTGAAAAAAAAAAAAAATCAATACAAATGTAAGACAAGATATATATGTGTGCATTTAACACATATGTTTGAATTAATTATTTTTCCTTGGTTTTTAAGCTCAATGAATACTAATTTCTCAATATCTTCAAATAATTCAAATTTTAATAACTAAGGTACTTCAATATTTCAAATTATTTTTTGGTGTACATTATTATTAGTTTGAAAAAATTCTTACAAAAACTTATACTAATTTAGTCAAAATTAATGTAAATAAAATGTATTATATAATTATCAAATATTAAATATTGGTTTGTACTTCATACATTAGAAAAAGACTAAAATTTTCTCTAAAAATTATACCAAAGCATAATTCTTCAGTTTGACAATTAAATTTATTACTGTATTTAATAATATATACTCTTGAGTCATCACTAAAAAAAGTAAGCAGTTTTTCGTGATGGTTAATCCAGTTTTAATTGCTTGTTACACAAATTTTCTTCTATAATTTATTTTTTTAAAAAATCTTTGATATTTATCAAATAATATTATTATTGTTAATCAAAATATGTATCAATTATTAGTTATAATGTATTTTGTACATAAAGAATGAAGGAAAGAAAAATAAAGTAAAAGTAACAAAGGGAAAAAGGAGGAGGAAAGGAGACAGAAAAAGTCGCTGGAAAAAAACAATAAAAGGTAATAAAAGCCAAAAGGGCAAGCGATTCACAGCACAGCCTTTTGTTTTTAACATTTCTACACTGAGAAAGTCGGTTACACTGTATATTACGCACATTAATGCAATGCATTTATTTTATATTACGTATTTAAAATTAAATTTTATTTCAAAGTAAATATACAGTACCTATAAATGTTTGATGTACATTTTCTATAAATTTTCAGTTTTATGCTTATTATATGGAAACATTTTATATAGTATATTAATAAAACAAATAAAAACGAATAATTTAGTTAGTTTTTAATATTTAAACAATAAAATAACATACATATAAATAAACCAGAGTACTAACTTTATGTTTGATATGCAATTCATATTTATATGAAAAAATATTTTTAGAAGTTTGAATTAAGGTTTTGTTCGCACACAATTTTAAATTAACAATCTTAATTAAAAAAAAAAAAAAAAAAAAAAAAAAAAAAAAAAAAAAAAAAAAAATTCTGATAGAGAAATATGAAAACATATTTTCTATTAGTAGTGAAACTATGACTGGACAAAAAAATGAACGCGATGTAGGAATCCGAACCCGATCAAAAAAACGATCCGAATCCGAATCCATTCTAGAGAAATATTCGAATGGGTTTTAAGACTAGTTAAATATTTCGGGCATCGGCTGATATCCGATCTAAACCAAAACTCAAACTAATATCAAACAAAAATTGAAGCGTTCGAATAGTTCACATATTTTCGAGTACTTTCAGATACTTTTGGATAGTTTGAGTTGTTTTTTTTATCGGATTTTTCATGTAAGGGGGATACTTTTGAGGAAATTTTTCCAGATAGTTTCGGATCCGAACCGAATCCGAAAGGTACGTAAAACCCAATGCAAACCACACATGATCCAAAATTTACAAATACTCAAATGTAGCTAGCTTATGAGCCTGGTACCAGAAACCCGAAAACCTGATTGCAAACCAGTATCCAAACACTTAACCTTAAAACATTTAGGTGATTTAAAAGAAATGCACACTGAATTAGTTTGAAGATAAAAAAAAAATAAACGACTATTAGGAATGCCTAAATTTGTATCAATGAAATACGCTAAATATATATGTATATTAAAAATGTACTACAAGAGGAAGTTTTTGCTTCAAAAAAAAACATTTGCTCGCCTTATCTCAATTTGTAGGGATCTTGATCTCAAGAAAATATATATTTATCCAAATTAGAAAGTCGAACCATATGGGAAAACATTTCTCTTGTAGTACATTTTTAATATACATATATATTTAGCGTATTTCATTATCGGGTGTATTCAAAATCACGAAATAGTGAATGCAAATTATTGATTTTAAATCGCAATTTCAGAGATTAATTGAATTTGGTTAATTGAATAGAATTTTATAGTTTAGGTGGAATTAGGAAGAAGAAGAAAAATACAGGGTGAATTGGGTAGAGGTCGAAAGTACAGGGTGATCCTAGTTGAGCGCATATATTACAGGTTGATTGCTACAGGCAGCCCTTGATTTATTGTTTCTGCTTTTATCCCATAACTGTTACACATATGCCGTATAATATGTATTAACCAGTTAGCTAACATGAGGCTATATGCGAAGAAAATGCCAACAGCCTCATTACACACTCAGCTACCTCAAGCTTTTCGTAATTCCTAAATATACTATAGTAGTTTTACATTATGGGTTGAGAGTTTATTGTATGTGTTCTAAATAAAAATTATGAGTTCTTATTTAGAATCACTTACTAATAATATCTCAAGTAATTTATGTCTGTTATATTTAAAATTTAAAACCATGATATACAAGAAAAATGTAGACTTTCTAAAAAAGAAAGTAAGAAGCGGGATTGAATCAATTTAGATTAAGATGATGAGATGCAAAACAAAACAAAAATTGTTGTAAAGACGAAAAAGAAGATGTAATGGAGGGGTACTTTTGTCTTTAATTTGGTAAAATATACGAGAGAGCATGACCAAGTAAATTGTATGGTCATTTAATTATTATTCTTTTGGGTCATTTAGCCTCATTTCTCTTAAATTTTACGCTTATTACTTATAACTTACAAATTGTTGACTTAATTTTATTTCGATTCATCTAACAATATTTTTTTCTCTGATTCCTTAATAGAAAAGATTTCTATATCTTAAAGAGCACGGAAAAAAAGTGGTGAAAAAACACGTTTTAAAGGTAGAATCAATTGGAGATTCGGTAAAGATATTGGTGGTGATAAAAAGTTTGAGATTTGTTTTTGGCTCCGATTGGTGACAAAAAAAAGAACAATAGGAACAAGAAAAAAAAGGAATGAAAAGGAACAAAAAGGAAAGGAAAATGATCAAAACGAGGAACCAAAAGGAACATAAGAATTGAACAAATGATTATGGTAAATGGTAACCAAAAAATTGAACAAATATTTAACATAATAATTATTAAAAATTATGTATTTTATTTAGTTTATAAATTTTATTGAAAATTAATGTTTTATTTTAATTGAAACGAAATATAGTATAAATTCAAATATTTTATTTTAAAATAATATAAATTTCACTTGAAAGCATTTATTTATTTATTTTAGTATAAATACTAATTTAAAACAAAGTCATAAGATTCATTTAAATTAAAATTTTGATAAAAGTTTTTTTATACATAAATATATAATAAAAATATGGGAAATTGTTAATAATGCCACTTTTTCAATGCCACTTTTCAAAAATACCCTTTTTTAAAAACCTTATAAAAATTGCTCTTAAAAATATAAGATTTACCCAAATATGTATGTAATATTATTAAAACATACACAAACTACATTTCTATGTATCTAAAATCTTATAAATACTTTATAAATACCTTATAAATGCATTTTAAATACCTTTAAAAACCTTTAAAATATCTTGTAAAACCTTTGGAAAACCTTAAAAATCCTTTAAAACAATTTGTAAAACCTTTAAAAACACCTTATAAAACCTTATAAATACTTGGATCGAGTCTTCAAGTAGTAGTTACAATCCATAAGTACCTTATAAACCTAATAAAACTTTATAAAAATTTCAGATTTAAAAAGGGGCATTTTTGAAAATGGACATCTAAAAGGGGCATTTTTGAAAAGGGGCATGAGAAAAGGGGTATTTTTGCTAATCCCCCTAAAAATATAGGAATTATTTATGTATAAAAATGTAAATATTATCAAAAAAGCTATTTTAAAATTATTTAAAAATTAAAAACGAATTTTAAATTTTTGTTCCTTGTTGTTCCTCTACAATTTTGGGGAGGAACAATTTTGTTCTATCATTTTTTTTTTTTTGAGGAATGAAGAGGAAAAATGTAGGACCCACATGTCTGAAAATGGAACAAAGATTCCTTACAAATGGTAAAAAAAATGAGGAACAAAAAGAACATGACATTCCTACTCATTCTTTTCCTCAAAATTGGTTACCAATCGGAGCCTTTGTATAATCATCACTAAGTGGTTATAATATATTTTTTTCGCGTTAAATTTACTACTCAACAAAAAAAAATTATTAATATGACTGGCAAAAAAAATCCAAAACAAAGTGTATACGAAATAGATAAAATAAAGATGTCTTTTAACTGGTTTGAACTGTACTTGTATATTGACAAAAAAAAAATTATGGTATAAGAATGTAAATTAGCCTTTTGAAATTAAAAAAAATAAAAAATTAGAGCACATCAACCAGTCTCTTCGCTATCATTGAAGTTTGAACTTAAAATCTATCTATTTAGATGCTTGTGGCCTGTGGGTGTTATGTATCGTAATTGTTTTTTTTTGTTGGCTCAATTGGGAATGGTTGCAGCAAGTAAATTTTTTAGTTGGGGCTTCGATGCACTCTTTTTCATGTTTCTTTTTTCTTTTCAACATTGTAAATGTACAATGTTTTTTGTATATATGCACCTAGTTAAAATACTCCTATGGATCCGCGACTATTATTCCCGAAAAAGTTCACTAATTTCAACGTGAATTTTTACTTCACTTTACGTTAAAAGTTAAAACGTAACCATCCACAACCATGTCTTTTTCTTTAAATGTATATGTCTCGACATACACACACACATAGTATTGGTCATGTTCGTGAAACTAATTTCATATATTTGACCAGAATATATTTATTTTAAAACCCTACAACGCATAACTAACATAAGTGATTGAATTTGAAATAGTAGAAGCGAATAGAGATTTGATTAAGTTCACGAAAAGCGGTGGAAAAAGAGCGGCCTTGGCTTGTGAACTCTAAAACTCAAATCTTATCATTTATGGTTTGACAAAAAAGAAAAGATAGATAGATAGAGAGGTGATCAGCTGATACACGTGTGTTTTCACGTTACTCTTTTTTTTTTGGTATTTTGTGGCTCCTCGCTATTACGTTTACGCAAAAAGAAATATAGATCGTATTTATTACAAAAACAAGATATGATTTGGAATATTCAATAATCTTCCATTTGACTCAATATTGAACTTGATTTTTTCAAAATAGGCTAAGGAGTTGCTCTAGATCCGCAATTCGAATTCAACCTTGAAATCGGAAGGAAAAAAAACACTATCGACCGAAAAATTTGGTGAAGGTTTATTGTTATTTGTTTCTCTTTCGAAGATATAGAAGAATTAGATAACAATGTTTGTGAAGATATTGTATATATATATATCAAATAGAATGACAAGTAATATTGAAACATTATGTGCATAATACAAAGGGATTGATTGAAGGAGCATCTTTTGATTAGCCAATCATGATTTTCTGCAAAAGCATTTTGGGGAGACATTGAGAACTTCCGACTGCACGGCTTTATCCTGCTACAATTGGAAGCTTTTCTTACTAAGCATTAATGAATATCTAACAATTATAGAAGGACAATAACAACATCCTCTTTTCTTTTTTCTTACAAAGCAATTAAAAGGGAAAATAGTAACATTTCTTTTGTTTTTGATAGAAAATATCAACGAAAATTCATTTTCCCCACGATCGCTATCTTTTGGTTGTAGTTTTATGTTTTCTAAAACATTTTATGTCATGGTTGATAATTCTCCACTTTTAGTAACTAAAAGAGAATACATAGAAAACAACCATTGCAGTCAAACTAATTTCTGTTCCTCAATTTATTAGATTAATTTACGTAGATTTTCATTAGTCTTTAGAAACATATCTATTTTTTTTTTAATTTGAAACATTTTTTTTTCACTATGTCTTTTGTTTTTATTGGATCACGAATGTGGTACCATTCACACCCTAATTAGAGAAACAAAATAATTAAGAAATTTAATGCCCCCTTGCTATACCTTGTGTACACATGTATGATGTAGATCTCTCTATAAATATGGGAGCTTGGTGATGCTTGTTTATTTATGACTTCTCAATACAAAAAGCTCCACTCACTTTTTTAAGTTTTGTCTTCTCTAATCCGTCTTCTTCTACTCTCTTGCATGCTTTGCGTCTTTTATATACATCTCTCGTAAACCCTAGCAAATCATACAAGGTCGGTCCCTTTTTTTTAGTTAATTCTAATATTTGGTTTTAACTTGTTCTACGTGTGATTTTGTTTCATGTACATGTTTTCAACTGATTGTGAGCTCATGGATTGTTGTCATCAGGTCAAGAAGCTTGACCTTCATATTAGACTTAAGTCGTTTATAATCAATTAGCACCAATAGCAATGGATAAAGATTACTCGGTACGTACCTTATCAATATTTCAAGATCCTTAATATCTTATCTTATACAAATTTATAGATATATGTATAACATTCAATTCCTCCTACTTTTGATAGAAACTTGATTCTCCAATTCCGGTTTCTCTCAGGCACCAAGCTTCTTAGGTGAATCCTCAGGCGGTAACGACGATAACAGCTCCGGTATGATAGACTATATGTTCAATAGAAACCTTCAACAACAACAAAAGCAATCGATGCCACAACAGCAGCATCATCAACTGTCTCCTTCCGGATTTGGAGCAACACCTTTTGATAAAATGAACTTCTCTGATGTGATGCAGTTTGCGGACTTCGGTCCGAAACTGGCGTTGAACCAGACCAGAAACCAAGATGATCAAGAAACCGGGATTGACCCCGTTTATTTCTTGAAGTTCCCTGTCTTGAACGACAAGATAGAGGACCATAACCAAACCCAACATCTCATGCCTTCTCATCAGACGTCTCAAGAAGGAGGTGAGTGTGGAGGAAACATAGGCAACGTGTTTCTTGAAGACAAAGAGGATCACGATGATGACAACGACAACAACTCCGTGCAACTCCGGTTTATTGGAGGAGAAGAAGAAGATAGGGAGAACAAGAATGTTACGACAAAGGAGGTGAAGAGCAAGAGGAAGAGAGCTAGAACGAGCAAAACCAGCGAAGAAGTGGAAAGCCAAAGGATGACTCATATCGCTGTCGAAAGGAACCGTAGGAAGCAAATGAACGAGCATCTTCGTGTCCTCAGATCTCTCATGCCTGGCTCCTACGTTCAAAGGGTATGATATTCATAAATTAAATTATATCGTATAGAAAACATTTTTGTGGGTGTGTTTAATACCACCGTCTCCAACTATATTAAATTCAATATAAATTTCAATGTATAATATAGGGAGACCAAGCGTCAATCATAGGAGGAGCAATAGAGTTTGTGAGAGAGCTCGAGCAACTCCTACAATGTCTAGAATCACAGAAGCGTCGAAGAATCCTAGGAGAAACCGGTAGGGACATGACCACGACAACGACTTCTTCTTCTTCTCCCATAACTGCGGTAGCTAACCAAACACAACCGCTCATTATTACTGGAAATGTAACCGAACTAGAGGGCGGAGGAGGGCTTCGGGAGGAGACCGCGGAGAACAAGTCGTGCTTGGCTGACGTGGAGGTGAAGCTGCTAGGGTTTGACGCCATGATCAAGATACTTTCAAGAAGAAGGCCAGGACAATTGATTAAGACTATAGCTGCTTTGGAGGATCTTCATCTCTCTATTCTTCACACTAATATCACTACCATGGAACAAACCGTCCTCTACTCCTTTAATGTCAAGGCAAGATAACTAGACTGACTAGTCATAAAACATTTATAAATTTATTTAGTTTTTGTTCAATGTTATAATCATAGATTATGGATTAGTATTTTTGTAAAGTATATGTAATAACTACCAAAGGCTAACATGAGTAGATGTAAAATGTGCAGATAACAAGTGAAACGAGGTTTACGGCAGAAGACATAGCAAGTTCCATCCAACAGATATTTAGTTTCATTCACGCAAATACAAACATGTAAGTATATATCTCCTATTTAAATATTATTTCGATTAAAGGCACTTTTACTAAGTTTATGTTGGTCCCTTAAAAACAAAAGTTTATGTTGGTTCAATGTTATCCATTTCAGATGTTTTTGTTTGTTTTTTACCTTTTCGATATCATGATTATTTCTTTTTGTGTTCGATATGGTCTATCTAATCATCAAGACATCATTACTATATATATATATATGTGTGTGACTGTGTGAGTAATGAGTCTGGTGAAATCCCAAGAGATAAAAATATGAAGATATTGCTATTTGTTATGATTATTTGCTTTTTTGTAAGATATGGTGTATCTAATCTTCATGATTATTTTATTTCTGTGTTAGATTTGGTGTATATGTATTGTGACATTTTTATCACATTATTTTGAATCTAAGTGCTAAAGGTTGGAAACAATTTTATTTCAGATCAGGAAGCTCTAACCTGGGCAATGTTGTGTTTACTTGAAAATCATCCCACGGAATGTGTCGAACTGTTGAAGATTACCATAATCTCTACATATTGGTTTTTATTCTCCAAGCACTTGGAAGAGTTTTTAAGTTTAAGAGAGTGTTTTCTTTATTTCTTTTTTTTTTTTTCATGCAATTTAAATTTTAGTGATGATTGTGTAGCTTGTATCGTTAGAACTCGTTGTTGTGAATTTTGCTTTGTAGGTTTTGAAAAAGCGGTTTAGAATGTTAAACCACTTATTTACTTGAAATATATCTTTGTTGACAAAAAAAAAAGACAATGCATGAAAAGTGGGGAAATGGTGGAGGGGAGGGATAGGAGCTATCGTTTTCTTGAGATTTGTCTAAAGAAATGGGCCACTTATAACACCCAAAAAAAAAAAAAAAAAGAAGAAGAAGTTATTTAATAGAATAATAACAATATAAATATCTTTTGCAGTTGTAAATAGTTGCATTTTTTTCATCGCAACTTATCGTTTATTTATTTTCTTAAACCTAAAAGATATATTTACAGTTGTGTTTTTTTTTTCTTAAGTTACAATCCGAATAAATATCTTTTACGATTGCATTGTATTTATCGTAACTCTTTTTAAAACGTTGCAACCGTTTAGTTGAACCATTGCCATATTTAGTTTATTTTACGAATAATTGTAACTTTTGGTTTATTTTACAACTCGTTATAACATTTAATTATCTACAATCGCGTCTCTAAGTGTAACTTTTCATAAGTTATTATTTTTAATTTTAATTACTAAAATGTGTTTAAATTAAATTGTAACTCTTTTAGTTTTGTTTTATGAACCGTTGTTCGTTTATTTGACAAAACGTTGCAACATTTGATATATTTAACAAACCGTTGTAACTTTTGGTATATTTGATATCTATGGTTGCGGCTCTCGTTTACAATTCTTCATAAGTTTTTTCAAAATTTCAATTACTAAAATATATTTAAAGGATTTTTTTCTACCGTTTAATTCAACATAGTAACATTTGGTTTATTTGACGAACCAATGAACATTTTGGCTTTTTTGACGGACTGTTTTAACTTTTGATTTATTTGATGAACCGTTACAATATTTGGTATATTTGATTAACCGTTATAACATTTAGTTTATTTGATAAACTATTACAATGATTGGTATATTTGATGAACCGTTGCAATATTTGTATTTTATAAAAGATTTTTGTGAGCATTAATTAAAGTTATATCTTTTCATTTAGAGTTGTATCTCTTCACCTTGTTTTATTCGTGTTTTTCATCACAAACTCTTCGTTCCAATAATTGTGTCTTTTGCAAAGAGTTTGTCTATTTTAACTTTTATGTCTTTTTAACCATATATATATTTTCTTCTTTACTTAGAAAAATTATGTATATTTATTATTTTTCTTATACTTTTTCATTTAAAGTTGCATTTTTTCGTTATTTAGCATTATGTATATACTTTGTTATCTATATTATTATCTTTTTTCTAAATAAATTATCAATTTTGGTTATTTGTTCAATTTTTTCCGAGGATTATTTCTCTCTTTAACATAACACAATTTAAAATGTTGTGTTCTTTTATCATAAATCATAATGTTTTGTTGAATATATTTATAACTATTAAAATTTTTGAAAAATTGCATCACTCATTATCTCTTCGTGTAATATTTTTTACTTATGATCGCATATTTTCACCATAATATTTTTCTAATAATAATATAAATCTTAATAAATATTTATAAGTGTTACGACTCTTTATCATAGTTTTTCGTAAAATATATTTTGATTTATTGTTAAAGAAATATTTTGTAGTGTTATTTCAATTCATTATAAATTTTTGTTTGATATTTCTTTTTTTATAAATTTTTGAAATTTTTTTCTCCCCGAGTCTTAGTAGTATTAGAAATAGCCAATTTTAATCTCCAAAAATTGACAATTCGGTTAAACGAAGTGACGCTTTTACACTTTTCCAAAAGTGATTTGACTAAAGAAACTATGTGTCCGAAAACAAATTTGTTTAGGAAACTCAAAATGATTGTCTTTAATCTATTTCTCCTCAACAAAGACGAAACTCTTGTCTTCATCTTCCTTATATATTCACCATTAGCTCTAATCCAAGTCAGATCCGACACAAACACAATAAAATCCAAAACCATTGCTTGGTTTTCTTCTCACACCAAGTAGGTTCGTACGTGTAGACAGAGTCCAAGGCCAGAGTCCCAATTCCAAATCCGTCCAAAACTTGGAGATCCTTTGTTATAGCTTTATATTTATCGTGAGTTGATTTAGTTTTCTTTCTTCTTTTTTCTTTTGTCGTGAGTTGATTTAGAATTCAATGTTTGTACATAGAATTTTGTTTTGTTTCTTTTAACACTTTAATAAGAAATGGGATCACTTCACAGTCTTTGTTTACAAAAGGTATGAGAAAATATGGCAAGACTGATACATGAGGACCACTGTTGATTACTCCTAATCGATTTTTCTTGGGGCTAAAAAGTGCAAGCACGTGTATAAGTACTCTCTCGATATTTGATACTTGAAACGTGCCTCACTAGATGTCAAAAAGAAAATGAAAATAAACATCTCTTTTTTGCCATCCTAGAATGGTTGGAGTTTGAGACTTTCCTTATCTCTATTCAAAAAGCGGTAAATATTAGAGGGTGACTTTTTGTAAGTAGAATTCTATTTTTCTTTTGCAAATAACATTTCATTTTTTTTCAGGATGTAAAATTGTAAATGATTGTTTTGAAAAAAATAGTGAAATAAAATTAAAACGAATAGTGGTATTATTAAAAACAAAAAAAATGATAAAAGATTAGTGTATTATTCATTTCAATGTGTTACTTTTTTTTGAGTATTCGCACTCTATACCATACGACTCAATATTTAAGTCAAACAAAAAGTAAAATAAGAGTAAACTGAATTTGCCATAAAAAACGAAATTATCTTTGTCACCAGTCACCACATCTATTTGCACTCTATACCATATGACTCAATATTTAAACACATGTTTTATCCTGTAAACCAACTCCAAGTGCACAACAAACGTAATTATATAGCTTTAGGGTGCAATTACTTTTATGGTCAATTTAGTCCTATAAGACAACAATACTTTTCTATATGCAATTACTTTACTCTGCAGTAATCGTTTGTATTTTTCTTTATTTTTTTGTCCTATTTTTCAGGTGGACTTAAAAGAGGCTGCAATTCAACAAACATAAATTATACAACGACTCTTTTGGCAATGTCCATGTCTTTTATTTACGCTATTTTGTGATATATTTGTATGTCCGTCAATTTCTCAGAAATTTAATTATATTAATCTAAGGACTATTTTTTGGATAAAAAAATTCTTCTTTCATTTCATATTTATAACTTTTTATTAAAATCAGTTAGAAAAATAGTGTACAAAAATGGTTTGAGAGGATTTTTTGCAATTTCCCTTTAAATGGGCCAAAAACATAAAATAATAAAAGAAAGCCCAACACAATTTTACCGACTTGTAATTTCTCTCGTACCGTGCCCTAATCGAGACGGAAAAAAAAGGGTAGAGAATTCGAAAGGATTCTTCAGAAAAATTCAATCGACGAGTATTGGTGAGTGCTTGGTTCATTTCTTTTATGAAATTTTTGTGATATTAGGTCCTTTCGATCCAGTTATTGTGGTGGTTGTCCAAATTGAATGATAACGTTTTACGGTTGCATGGTTCCCCTTCGTTACCCGATTGATAGAAGAATTTTTTTTAAATGATTCCAACGAGTATTTCTAAGTTGAGGAAAAACTTTGCATTTTCAATTGTGTTTTTTTTTTTGGTATTATTTATACTTTTGATTATTGGAAAGCTCTGATCAAGCTCTGATCGGTTATTATCCTCGGCTATTGCAAAATGCAAGCAAGTGCTCAAGAGGGTAGATGATGAATTGAGGTCTGCAAAACATGTTTCTAAGTCGAATGGGTTTGCGAGGGAGATTATTGAGTCCAAGATTTCTGACTTGTGGGTGTCTCTCTTTGATGAAGAAGTTGTTAACTTGTGGAAGTCTCTTCTCTTTGATGAAGAAGCTGGTCAAGAACCAGCCAAAGTGATCAAGATTAGGGTTCTTCGAGATCTTTTTCAGCCTATTATGGGCAACTCATGGCATTGCTATGCCAACCCTAAAACTTCTTTGGGACAAAGCGAGATGCAGAGAGTTCCTGTATATTCTCCTTACATTCGGCATGTGTATTCTCCTCACATTTTAGGGTCAGTAACTCACTTAGGTTACATACAAAGTCGTTGTCTCTCATCATCTCTGAATTCTGTTTTTGTTGTTATTGTTGTTGTTGTTTTTACAGGAATGATTTTGCAAAGCAGGAGATGAAAGAGGAGGTTGTGCGACTAGGACTTGAGCTCTCGCTACATATGGCTGGATCAATGTTCTATCTGTGTGATGACGTTTATAATATGTTACGATTCTGCTACAAGTTATTGGAAGATGCAAGAAAGGACATGACTCATAATAGTCCTGTGATGAAAACATTGAAAAGCATGATTGGTGTTATTCATTATGTCACCACAAAATATATCAAACCAAAGAATGGAGTATGTCAGAATGGTGGCCAGTCGGTCCAGTGGAGACTGATCCCGACGACTTTGGAGAGTTTTGGTACTGGAATCAGAGACCTGGACCTCCTTGTTTCGATTCTAAGAAGCGGAGGAAGCTATTTGGATGGCCGAGAGTTTACGTCTAGTATTGAAGCAGCGATGAAGGAGTTGGATAAGACATTGAGGTGGATAAGAAAATGTAAAACCTTATAGGAAAAACAAACTCATAAAACAATTGTTCCCATTCAAAGCCTTGAGAATATATGGAAAAACTAAATAAATAAAAAAAAGTTATTTAATTTCCATTCAAGACCAAAAGATATCCGAGTGTGGTTATTTTATTTTCTATTTCCAAACAAGATACTTATCATTTATCAATATGGATAAGTCGTCTACAAAGATTTAACCTAAGATATTTATTATATGACTAATTCCAAGTTTCCTACCATTTTTTCAATGTAATTTCTATACAAGAAAATTCACTATTAATTTTTTAAATATCTTTGCAATAATTATTAAATTTTAGTCTTGACCATTAACTTTAACAGTTACCACAATCACAAAGATTACAATTTCCTTTTTTGTTTCCGACCTAGCTCTCACACAAAACCAAGATTTTTTATCACCAAATCTAGAAACAAAGCTAAACTTTCCAGTTTCATATAGATTCTACTTTATTAACACAATCAAAAACCTCACATAATCAAAAGAAAACAAACTAATAAAATCTTCATCAAAATATTTACAATTAATTAAAAACCATTAATCTCACGACCTTGTTAAATAAAACCATTTCCTCCACTACTCTCATTTACCCCTCCCTCTCTTAAAACTCTTACGTTTCGTTACCATCTAACAAAAATCAGAAGCTCTAATAATGGGAACTCATCGAATTTTCATAGGTCTCATCGCTCTTTGTTGTTTTTGTTTACCTCATCTCATTGAAGCTAAACCATTCGGAGTATACCAACAACAAGTGTTCGTGGATCAATCAGGCCATGGAAATTTCACGACAATACAAAAAGCTATTGATTCTGTTCCAATCAACAATCGTCATTGGTTCTTCATCAACGTTAAAGCCGGTCTTTACAGGTTAGTCTAGCGATGTTTTAATTGACTATGAACAAAGTTACATATGTCTTGTAATAAAGTTATATATGCGAAAGTGCTTAGTAATGTTTTTTTCTCTATGTCTTGTTGTATATAAAGAGAGAAAATAAAGATACCGTATGAAAAACCGTTCATAGTATTAGTAGGAGCTGGGAAAAGGTTAACGAGAGTTGAATGGGACGACCATTACTCGGTTGCACAAAGCCCTACCTTTTCTACTCTAGCCGATAACACCGTCGTTAAAAGCATCACTTTCGCCGTACGGTGATTTTTGTCTCTTCTGTTTTTCTGGTGCATTTTTCTTCTGTTGATTCTTTTTTGATTGAAGAAATAAAAGGATTTCATTTTTTTTTTTTTATAGAATTCATACAACTTTCCTAGCAAAGGGAAAATGAACAAGAACCCTAGAACTCCAGCCGTGGCAGCGTTGATAGGCGGCGATAAGTCGGCTTTTTACTCAGTAGGGTTTGCTGGAATTCAAGATACTTTGTGGGACTCGGATGGTAGGCACTACTTCCACCGGTGTACCATACAAGGTGCGGTCGATTTCATCTTTGGTAGTGGCCAATCTATCTACCAGGTGATCCGTTACATTCTTCACATAATAATGTTGGTTTTGAAGTTATGAATAGGATGATATTAATCCCATATCTAAAATAATTTTGCAATTTTTTTAGAAGCCGGATTTGCCTTAAAAATGGCCAAGAATTTGATAACAGTGGATGTGCGTACATAGTTGTGATGTTCAATCTAGATATATCTTTCTAACCACTGCGATTGGAATGTTTTTTTTTTACTTTTCCTATGTCCAAAAAGAAAAAATATCGAACTGAAGCTTAGTTTTATGAAAAGTAAAGATATGAATATGATTAAAAAAAAAAAAAATTGAATCCAAACTAAGAATGTTCTTGATTCGATTTTGATTTGTTAACCATTTTCCGAAAACTCGAAAAAACTAAATATCCCTAATTAACCTTTAGTTTTCACATATTGATGTCCTATTTATTCGGGTCTAGTTTCATTAAATAAAAGTTGTGTGTTTGGTGGGTTGTAGAGCTGTGTGATACAAGTGTTAGGTGGGCAGCTAGAACCGGGGCTAGCGGGTTACATAACGGCTCAAGGACGGACCAACCCGTACGATGCAAATGGATTCATCTTCATCAACTGCCTTGTATATGGAACGGGCATGGCCTTCTTGGGCAGGCCGTGGCGCGGTTACTCTCGAGTGATTTTTTACAACTCGAACCTGACCGATGTAGTTGTTCCTGAAGGATGGGACGCATGGAACTTCGTGGGCCACGAAAACCAGCTGATCTTTGCAGAACATGGATGCTTTGGAAGTGGAGCAAATACAGGAAGACGTGTGAAGTGGGTTAAGAAGCTTAGTGGATCTGCCATTCAAAATTTGGCTGATCTCAGCTTTATTAATCGTGGTGGATGGGTTGAAGATTTGCCCATCCCTGCTTGATCTCTCCTAATTTGCTTCTAGTTTTTTTTTTTAGATTTCTTATTGATCATTCTCTTTTTATTTAGTTTAACCAAATGTAGTAATTTGTTATGTTTTATGTTCTTTTAGCTTGACATTGACATTCTAAATAACAAAACATTTCAGAGAGCTTGTTTTTATATTTCTCCTTTTGTTTTTTCTTTGCAATATGTTTAACAAAAGCGGCTGCTGGTACATTTGTAACATGTATTGATTTAAACACATGTTTTGTAAAACTAATATATTACACCGCAATAGTTGAAGTGTATCGTTTTGTTTGGATTTTTTGGGTTTATCCAATTACATACTGCAATAATTGTATGTTCATGTGAATGAACGAAGATGGATTTCTGTGGTTTTGGAAAGTGGAGTCACGGCATCACACCTACATGCAGCAAAAATTGAGAATTCAGTAGTTGAATAAGAGGATAAAACAGATTATTTTACACAATTGTCCTATTATGGGTCTTAAGACAAAACATCACACTAGTCCAAGAATATTATGGGCCTTAAGGCAAATATAAATTTTGGGGTCCATTAATTCAAAGTTTTAATATGGGTTTTGTTTTGCTAATTTATTATTACCTATATTAAATCTTCTTTTGTCTTTAAAATTATTTTATTTAAAAAACATACTGTCTTTTTAGTTATCGAGTCCCGGACTGTCGCATCTTGTGCTCATCCTAATGTCTTACATTTATCTCAACTTTTTTTTTTGTTTTTTCGTCACATTTATCTCAACTTATGATGAATTAATACTATAGATAGATATTTGGAATTAACAATTTCAACTACACTAATCATAGGATTTTATCAACTGACGTTATATCATAGATTCATAGTATACTAATCATGTTAACCGCACTATTTTAGAAAAGCATGAAACAGCCCTTTTTGTCATCTTTACATGATTTATATTTATATCAATTATTTAAAATTGTATATTCATAATCGGCGAAGTTGGTAGAGACATCAATATAAATATGCCGAAGCCATGTGTTTGACTTCAACTTGTTCAGTTGTTAATAATTTATATACCTCTAAACTTCTATGTTTTTGTTTTATTCTACTTTGATCAAACCATGTATAATATGTCAAAAAAATCCAAGAGTTGGTAAATCAAATTTCTGAATATATATAATTTTTGATTGCTTGCAAATTATAATACTCAAAAACATTCGTTCCTAAATAAAACCAATGATCTTTACAAATGATAGATATTATTAGTTTGGAATTTAGAATTTGGATTATGAATTTGAAATTTGAAAAAACTAAAATTAATTGTGTCGATTTTTTAAAGAATTTTCATTTTTATACACCATTTTAGTGTTTAATGTATCAATCGAGTTTTTTAACCTTTGGATTTACTAGCCGTCGTTCTTAGCCTTCTCTCTATTTCTGTAGCATTGTAATTTATGTTCATAAAAAATTGTTCCTAATGATTATTGTTCTGTTGCCAATATCGTAAGATTTTAAAGCTATATGGAAGTCTTTAAAAATCTTGTCTCCATCCAGAATCTCAATACTAATCATTTTTTGTTTTTCTAAATCATATTTTGGAAGTTGATTTTAGAAAAATGTACTGACAAAAACTATAAAACTTTATCATTTGTTTTCACCCTAGTTGAGTTTTCAATCGCTTTCATACTTTTTAAAAAAATTAAAAAAAATCTTTTTTCGTACTTACGATTACGAGATGAACATATGCTATTATTTGCAATGTCTATTTTCCGACAAACAAAAAATTTTAAATGAAAAAATTCCCGAAAAAAGTCCGACTTATTTAATATTTTCAGAAAATTATCTGATCTTTTTTTTGTTATAGAAAAAATACACAACCTAATTTCGATTGGAAATACAATAAACACGATGTAATTTTTTTTACGATTTGTTTTATTCGCTGTAACGGCCGTTAACAGCGTTAACCAAATCTTCAAACGATAATTTTATTTACAGAAAAAAATCCTGAAAAAAAAACCCGACTTATTTAATATTTGCCAAACAGATACATGAATTTTTTTGTTGCTGGAAAATACAAAGATTAATTTCTCATTGGAATAAAAAGCATGACCTAATTTGTTGTTCTGATTTCCCCCTCTCTTCTTCGTAAAGGTATCATCATCGTTAACTAAATCGTAAATATTGTTATTTTTTTCTTTTTTCTTTGCATGTGATAAATAAAGATGGCTAGAATACCGACTTTACTCTCTTTGTAAATTCAAAATCGATTTGGGATCTATTTAGAAATAATGTACTTGACAAAAGTTGAATTTATTGGAAGTTGGAACATTGTCCGTTCCCTCTACATATATCGGGCTTTCCACTGATCTCTTCTTCTTGTGTGGCTACACAACAACTATGTCATCATGTTTCACCTGCTCCTTACTCTTTCTCGAAGACACCCTTCTCTCTTTTTCGGCTTTAGAATCCTCTCAATAAACTTCCTGAAAAATATGTATCAATAACAAATATGTATTTTTGGCAAATATTAAATAAGTCGGATTTTTCAAAAATGTTTCCATGATAAAATTAACACCGTTTAAAGAATTGTTTAACGCCGTTTACGGACGAAGAAAATAAATCGGAATAAAAAAACTAGATCGTTTTATTTTTATTTTTAATCGAAATTAGTTTATGTATTTTTCTGATAACAAAAATAGTTTAAATAATTTTCTGACAAATATTAAATAAACCTGATTTTTTTCAAAATTTTCCCGATTTTAAATACAGAAACTACTCAAGAGTCTGTACTCATGTTACTATTAGTCTATTATGGTGGACTCATGTTGCAGTTTCACAATAATTATTTAATCAAAACTGGGTTGGTGGACAGAGATAGTTTTACATTTTTTTGGTACATGATAATGAAATTTAGTCGTTAATTATTTTTCTTCTTTTCAACTACCTATGATTTAACTCTTTATTGCTTTCTACATTAGGTAATACACAGCGCCTTATGCATATAATATTCATTTAAAATTATTTTACTAAAACAATAGTATAAAATTATGATATTAGTAGATACAAAAATATTTAAACTAACCTTTATTTTTATAATGATTTAACAAAGTCTATATATGTATATTTAGAGGATAAATTGTATGTATATGTGCAACTAGTATTTTTTTTTTTTTTTAGATTCAAAACAAATTGTGAGTAAAATGTTTTTCAAGGAATTCTCTTGTTCAAGTTTCAGTCTCAATTTTTTTTCTTCATTATATACCCCTTTTTCTCTTATCATCAAATTCCATCTAACTTGATTTATTTTCACTATGTTCGTTCTATATTTTTTCACTTTTTTTATATATTCTCTCTCACTCGTATGTTTAAAAGATATTATTATTTTCTTATTTTTTTCATTAGAAACTAGCCCTGACATTGTCAAATCATGATGCGGATCTCTTTTTTAGACTCAACATCACTAAACCTAGTTGTTCTTCTTCTTCTTTTTTTCTTATAGTTTCCAATATAAATAATCTTTTTTGATAATTAACTAAAAAGTATTTGACACCAGGTCCAAATATAAAAATCAAGAGAAATTTGTCATTACTTCAAAACTTTGTATTAAATTATGGACAGTAATGTCTACATTTTAGAAAGCTAGCATTGACGAGCTCGCTAAGTAATAGATGATTTACATAAAAATATATATATATACAAGCAAAACTAAAAGTATAAAATAACTATAATAGGAAATAGTGACATCCCAACTATACAATTTTATAAATCCGGAACTATTAAAAAAACAATATAATTCAAAAGGGACCACTTTAAAAGAAAATTTATCACATGATTTGTTTTTTTTTAAAAATTGACTGTGTTTTTTTTTATCTTCCATTTATTTTTTAAAAATATGATTTGTTTGTTATGAGCATAATTACAAAAAAAAATCAGTTACCAAATCGTCAAACCCATACATACAAAATGGTTGAGAAGAAAACTCATGACTTTTTGTCCATTTAATTTAAAATAAAATTATCAATCTACATAAGATATTACATTAATCATGCTATACATAAAACAATTTGTAGCTTACTTTAAAAGGATACTAGATCATGACCCGCACATACGTGCGGGGTTTCATATTTTTAAAAAAGTTCTAACAAATTTTAATTCAATATAATATAGATTATTTCGTTGTTTCTATGATATATATTTTAGTGTATTAGATCTGGATTCACACGTACGTGCAGAGATATTTCAGGAAACCTATCCCGTCCTGTATCTGTCATAAATTCTTGGTCCCATAACCCGTCTCGTATACGTGAAATAAAAATATGACGGTCCAGTATCCGGCATAAATAGAATATGTGTAACTGAAAACGTACGTACATGGTTATGTATGTAAACAAATTTATTTTATATAGTGCTCATTATCTGAACTCATACCAATTGGGTATTTAGTTTGATTTTTAATTTATGTTCCATTCTCATCCCGTCTCGTAATTCCTATTCTCATTTCATTCCATTAAAATCATGTTCCAAATTCTTGTTTGCTTACTTTTAAATACCATACAATAAATACTGTGAGTTTTGCAGATTAATATATATGCTGCTAAAGTTACAAATATATGTTAACAAATTTATTAATGTTTCTTTCCTTAGCTAAATTTTGCATATTCTTCTTTTTATTGTTTAATCATAATTAATTTGATTTTTAGACTAAAAATAAAAATTTGAGATACATCTCTAAAAGGGATATACTATTGCTGCATAATTTGTTTTGAATTCAAAATATATAATTAGTTTACATTATTTGAAAACTGTGTGCAATATATTAGGGATTTATTTAAGGAAGATCCGGTTGAAAAACAAAAAATAAAACGCAAAATAATTTAGAAATTAATATATACAATCTATTGTTAGATATTTATCAAACTTGCTCTAAACGAATGTTATAATGATAATTACTTTAAATTTATTATTATTTGAGTTTATTTCATCATAAATATAAATAGTTCTAATATCGTATTTTAGAAATTGTGAAATAAAATTTTGTTTTATATTTTAAAATTTGTGAAAATATTATAACAAAATTGAATCTTAAAATATTTATATTTAATTTTCTTACGAAATTTTAAATTTAATCTTAAAGTCCTCCATTGATAAATCTTTTAAACGATAGTGTTTTTAATTTTGAAATAAAATGATATTATTTTTCTTTTTATTTTTGATATAGAATAGTTTATTACGATTGGTTTAGATAAAATCTTAGTTGGATATCAAATCTTAGTTTTTCAATTCTTATTGGTTAACAATTTTTAAAAAATTAATTTCAAATTTTCGTTTATAATTAATAAGAGAGAAAAAATTAGTTTATTTTTTTGGAAATTAATAATTATTTAAAAGTATTAAACTATTTTTTATTTAAATATATTAATTTTGTGATTACTATTGTACCCTTAATGAAGTTATTTAAAAACACTAAAAACCAATGGCATTTTTTGTAATATTTTACTCTTCATAAGGTTATTTAATATTTAGTGATTCCCAATTAATAATATAGATTTTAAAACTTTTGTTAGTTTTTGAATACAATTTTGTTCCTACTGACCCTTTAACCATTTCTCTCTCATTAGTCAATAGTCATGGGTTTCTTTCTAATTAACCATTTTAAAGTATTATCATCTAAACAAGAAAAAGGTCTAAATAATTTAAAATTGTTGGAACAATAATTTTATAAAAAATGTAATCAAATGTCTAAAATAATAAAATTGTTTGAATAAGTGTTAAAAAAAAAATTGTTTGATTAATAATTTAAACTGTTAGTTTAATAAAAGTACTTCTGCTACAAATAATAAAATGATTATAAACATGTTTACACGCAAATCGGAGCCTAATACGTCCAAATCTATATCCACCCGTCTCTTCGCTGTCTAAAACATCCGGAGCCTGACCCGACATACGACCCGGATCCGAATCTAGCACAATCTCCATACCACCCAAATTCATTTTCCCCTAAAACTTTCTCTCACTTTCCCGGGAAAATCGGCGACCAATATTGGAAAAATGTACTCAGCGATTCGCTCGCTTCCACTCGATGGTGGACACGCCGGCGGTGACTACCATGGACCTCTTGACGGAACCAATCTTCCCGGCGATGCTTGTTTGGTTTTAACCACTGACCCTAAACCTCGTCTCCGGTGGACAACTGAGCTTCATGAGAGATTCGTTGACGCCGTTACCCAGCTCGGTGGTCCTGACAGTGAGTACTACTTTGTCTACTTATCACCTTTGGTTCTTCTCTCTATCTCTAATTTCTTATTGCTGAAATATTTGGATCTTGAGATGAAATGTGTGTTGAGCTAGCTTCTTCTTCTCTTTGCTCAGTTTCTTACTCGCCCTCTTCAAAAATTTCGTCTTTTTTTAGGGTTAGGTTGATTTTTCTCTCAAATGTTAGATATTTCAGATTTGTGAAGAATTTCGTTAAGTTTATGATTACATGTTCTTGAGACTTGAATTAAGATCTTTATAAGTAAAGTAGCTCTTTATGTGTCCCAAAATAGAATCATATGCTGCAGTGTATAAATTTGTTTCCTTTTTCGAAATTAGTCAATGGTAATTAAGTAGTGTCAGTGTCATCTCTGGAAATTTTGAAGCTTGTGATTTGCTTGTAGCTAAGATCCTTACTCTAGTTTTTTCTTTTTCTTCACCATTGTTCAATTTACAGAAGCGACGCCCAAAACTATCATGAGAACAATGGGAGTGAAGGGTCTCACTCTCTACCACCTCAAATCACATCTTCAGGTTTGCTGAACAAAACTGATTCCAGAGTTTTGCTTTCTAACTAATTATTTTTCAGAGTTAATGAGATAGAATTTCAATGACTTGACACCTTAGATTCTGAAATATGCTTGGGTATTAAGAGTTGTATGTAGGTTTGAGTTAAGTTTCATTTATTTGTTACCAGGTTTGACGTGTAATAGCAATAGTAATCCAAAGAATATTTGGTGTTTGATGGTGTTATGTTTCTCTCTTTTGTATGTGTTTTGCTCGACAGAAATTCCGACTAGGGAGACAAGCTGGCAAAGAATCAACTGAGAACTCTAAGGATGGTATCTATTCAGTTGACCTTTTGTTGTTGTTGTTGTCTACATCTCTGTTTGTGAAGCCGTTTGGTTCTACTCTCTATTCATATGGCTATTTGGAATCATATTTGTTAGACACTTCTACACTATATCATGTGAGAGGCACAAGGGTCCCTGTTGTTCTTCTCACCGACGTTGTCAGAATATATATTAGTAAACTGCTCATGGTTTAAGACTTGAAGTTGTCAAACAAAAACTTGTTTTTGAAAAAAGGAAACTAAGATTAACAACCAGTTGGGACCCTGTTTTGATGAATTCCAATTGTCTGTCCATATCTCGTTGTTCCACTAATTCTGTGAACTGGATGCTGCAGTTTCTTGTGTTGGGGAGAGTCAGGACACAGGTTCATCTTCAACATCATCATTGAGAATGGTGCAGCAGGAGCAGAACGAGTATGGTTACATTAGAATTTTTACTCTCATTTCTCTGCTACTGCTGGTTAGTGAATCACATTTGTATTTTTTTGCATGCCAGGGGTTACCAAGTCACTGAAGCTCTACGTGCTCAGATGGAAGTCCAAAGAAAACTACATGAGCAATTGGAGGTTAGGTCTCTTCATTTCTCTTGACATTGATCTTGAAGCTACAAACCACCATGTTTACAAAAAATTGGCTTCAAAGTTACAAATTAGAGCAGAACCGTTATCCTAAGTTCTGAACCAATGTTCAATCCAAAAATTAAGATGTGGTTGTTACCAAAATTTGTTTTTCTTTTCTGCTGTACATATGAACAGTACTCCTTGTTTCCATCTGTCCTGGCTACCTAATTAGAATGAACAAACGTGCCGCCCTTGAGACTGAAACAATGGCCACTTTTATAGGAGTTTATGCAACAGGCTGTGCTTTAAAATGCAAACCTCTGATTGGTCTTTTAGCATGGGCAGGTGCAACGGAGACTCCAGCTAAGGATAGAGGCACAAGGAAAGTACCTTCAATCGATTCTTGAAAAAGCTTGCAAGGCCTTTGACGAGCAAGCTGCTGCTTTTGCTGGGCTTGAGGCTGCTAGGGAAGAGCTATCAGACCTAGCCATCAAAGTCTCCAATAGCTCTCAAGGAACAACAGTCCCGTACTTTGATGCTACAAAGATGATGATGATGCCATCTTTGTCTGAGCTTGCAGTAGCAATAGACAACAAAAACAACATCATAACCAACTGTTCAGTGGAAAGCTCTCTGACTTCCGTCACTAATGGGAGCTCGATATCTGCTGCATCAATGAAGAAGCGGCAACGTGGAGACAATTTGGGCGTCGGGTATGAATCGGGCTGGATTATGCCTAGTAGTACCATTGGATAAAGTTTAGGAGGGGGGAAAAATCAGTATGGGAAAGGTAGAGATAAGATTTAACTCTTCTTTACTTGCTTTGAGGGGCCTGTATTATTCGATACAAACTTGTCATCAAAATTTCATCTAAGCCTACTCATGTATATATTTGATATTGAAGCTTAAGCTTTAGTGTTGTTTCCTTTAACCTTTGCTTTAATTATTCTTGTATTCAAGAGAAAGGGTTTAAAGGTCTATTGATAATATAATAAACATTGAGAAATGATAAAAGGACCACCAAAGCTTGAACCTTTAACTTTGCTACTATTCGTAATGCCTTTCTTCATTATTCTTTATGCTTTACTTTTATCAACTTACGTCTTGTTCCTATCATCCATCTTTTCAACGAACATCAGAATTAACATGAGTGAGTTCTCATTTTTCGTAATTTCGATTCGGTTTTCGCTATGTTCTTAGGTTTTGATTCATAGTTTTGAAATACGAAAACCGCGTAGGGAACATGCTTTGCTGCTGTGTTAACTCGGAGAACAACAACAAGAAGTATGCTGAGCTAGACGCGAAGCTTGCACGGAAAATGGTGGAGAGCCGGAAGATTTATCCGGGACACCGGCGTTTAAAGTCCATGGATTCAATAATCATGAAGTTTCCTCAGCTAAGAGAAGGATTAAGAAACATCAGAAGCGTTTTCGAATCCTTCGGTACGTTTTCTTGATCTTTTTCAGCTTTCATCAAGATTCCACTGGTTTTGGATCTTTTAACATTTTGGTTTCGCAGATAGTGATAAAAACGGGACAATCGATATCAACGAGCTAAAGAAATGCTTAAAGGAACTAAACCTGAGTTTGTCAGAGGAAGAAGTGAAAGGTTTATATGGATGGTGTGATGTTGATGGAAGCAAAGGGATACAATTCAATGAGTTTATAGTTCTTCTCTGTCTCATCTATCTTCTATCAAAACCTTCCTCTGAATCCAACACGGTAATAATCGATGACACGCTGACAGATATATCAAATGTTTTAGCTAAATTGTGTTGTGTTTTTCTTAGGAATCAAAAGAGATGGGTCCAAAGTTGGTTGAATCAATATTTGATCCGATAGTAGAAGTGTTCTTGTTTTTAGACAAAGATGGTAAAGGAAAATTAAACAAAGCTGATGTGATAAAGACATTGAATAATGAAGACTATCCTTTAGAAAGATCTCCTTCACATGTTACCAACATGAGATTTGGTATATAAATCACTCACACTGTTCTCCTTTTCTATGTTTATGGACTAATTTACTCATTGGACTCTTTTTCTTGTGGTGGTGCAGAAGAAATGGATTGGGGAAGAAAAGGGAAAGTGGGTTTTAGAGAGTTTCTATTTGCTTTCATGAGTTGGGTTGGTCTTGATGATGCAGAAGATTATATGACCAGCTAAACAAACAACTTATACCAAAGTTTGCACAATTATATACATCTAAGCTCATTATGTTGTATTTGGTTTCTTATGTGCATATGTACTTTGCTATCAACATGACTCTTATATGCTTGTTTAATTCATTATTTTTCAATAACTATGATTCATTCTTCTCATATGCGACAGTACCAACATCTTCTTGACCACTACTACAAACAAACTATCAACAAGTCAAGATCTGTCTCAATTAAGGACAAGAATTTGGACAAATATACTTGTGATTAAGGACATTGTTCAATAGAAAGTACATGTCCAAGTCTAAGTGATATAAAACTCCAAACGAAGCCAAAACATTAACCACAAACATCAAACTTTCACATTTCAAAAGCACAGAAACAATGGCTCAAAAGAAAGAAGTTACAAACATTTGAAACATGGATCATAATTTCTCATTTATTGTTTCCTTTGCCTCCTCCTGAGCTAGCTGCAGCTGCAGCTTTCTTTGCAGCCTTCTCTTGCAATGCTTTTGCATCTCTAAACCACAATGTAATCAATTAATCAATAACAAGATTAGCTCTGTTATCAAATTCAAGAACCAAATACGAATTAGGTTTTACCTTTCACGACGTTGCTCTGGAGTTAACCCATCATCTTTAGTCTTTCCTTTACCTCCGGTTCGAGCTAGAGCCCTTTCACGATCACGCTCTCTTTGGCTTCCTCGTGCAAAATTCGCAATCAAGAATCAAAGAAAACAATACTAATTTTACCAAAAAAGCACACAAATTTACCAAACCCTTCAAGATTCACGAACCTAACTTCAAAACGATAAGATTGAATGCGGAGAAATCAATGACAATCAACAAAACCCTAAATTTTTTGGAATTTTTCAACCTTGAAGAACACGCAAACCTAATCCAAGTGTGCAAAATTCGCAATCAAGAATCAAAGAAAACAATACAATTTAACCAAAAAAGCACACAGATTTAGCAAACCCTTGAAGATTCATTAAAGGAACTTCAAAACCATACGATTCAATGCGGAGAAATCAATGACAATTAACAAAACCCTAAAATTTTCGGAATTTTTCAACCTTGAAGAACACGCTAACCTAATCTAAGTTTGCGAATTGAACAATCGAAATAACAAAACATAGAACTTAATGAAAGAAACAAAATCAAATTAAAGTAAGAAACAGATTTGGGAAATGGGAAAAGAAAAACGAATTGAGAAGGATATGAGTCATGGTGTGATGAAATCTTCGTAGCGAACAAGTGATTCGAAGAGATCAGAGATCCCCGACGATGCTGAAACGAAAAGCCAGAGAACGAAGAAGATTGAGGAAATAAATTCGATTATTTATATGATTTTTTTTGTATATAGTATTATTAAATGGGGACAAAATCGTAATTTTAGTTACCAATCGAAATTTCTAGGCCTCGACTTTGGTTTTTCTTTATCCGTTTGGTTAGGTTTTTGGGTTTTTCCAATCTTCGGTTTGTTAAATATCCGGTTTGGGACAACGGATTGAGACCGAAATATGATTTCATTTTGGTTTGCCGTAACTTCTGATTGGTAATTTTTAATTTGAGATCAAGCGGAATTCTATTTGTATAATATTTATCAATTATATTTTCTTAAAGTTTTTTTGAAGAATTCATTTGAATAACTATTGTCAAATATATATATTTTTAATTGTGTAAAAGTTTATATTATTTTATATTTAAATTACTAGAGAACGTTTACATAACTTTCATAAAATAGAAAAACAATTAATATTTTATTCTACTCAAGGACATTTTGGTCCACCTTCTTGAGTCTTCCAATTGTTGTAGCAAGGACATTCTTCTTTATGTCCATACGTTCCCGATGGTACACACAAACATTTGTTGCAACAATAGTTGCAGTAGAACAAACATGGCTTCTTATGAGATGTTGCTGAACACCGAACATTACATGCCGCAGGACATTCTTCGCACAAATGGACAAAATCATTGAATAAATTAAAAAGTTATTATTTCCTCAACATATATCAGTTAATAAAAGAATAAAAGTTTTGTAAAGAATATTACGTCCAATAGTAAGTGAACCCTCTCCTCCTTCCTGAAAAATAATTTTGAATTAATAAAAATGATCGATAAATCTATTTTTATATCTATTTCTATTTTACATATTTGTTTTCTATTGAATTTTTTTAAGTTTTATGAATACCTTGTGGATTGGACCTGATGGATTTTCTAATTCCTTTGCCTGAAAAAAAAATATGAAAAAGTACAAAACTATATATGAATTGGATTGATTCACAAAAATACCCAAAAAAATGATTTACAAAATAATAGAAGGGAAATATATTAGCAATTTTACATTGGAAAATTGAGTAGCAAATAAAAAGCTGAATACAATAAAGATGACAATGAACTTAGCCATTCTTTTCTTCTTCTTTTTTTTTTCTTTTTTCTTTTCTTTGTTGATGTATGTGTATGTGAGTGATGAATCTATTTATAACCAATAATATTTCATATAGCAAAGTAGAAACCAATTGTCTTTTTTAGTAGTCACGGAAAAAAATATGTATTGTAATAAAACCTATATAGATAAACATTAATTTGTAAGATATTATTGAACATGTAATTAATTTTATAACACAATTCAAATTTTTTTAATTCAAAATATATGTTAGTCAATAAAAATAATACATTTGTCATCTTATATATTTGACTGAATTAATAATTTCCAAAATATATTTCAAAAAAGTAACCTGGGTCTTTTGGACTCTTGACCACTCATCTAGTACTCTTTGTATAGGATAACAAATGATCATGCTAACTAGTGTCAAAAACTCAAGTGCAAGGTAATTTTTTCCATTGATTTGTCTCAGATTTTGTAGAATCATTTTAGAGTCGGTTCTATGATGCCTCAATGATTAAGCTAAGAAATTATGTTAAGTAATCTGCCTAACCTAAGTTACACGTTACGCTACAAAGATTCACCTAAACTAAACTATACATGGTGATGCTACATGATTCACCTAAATTTTAAAACCGATAATTAACCCAAATGAAAATGCAAATATATTTATTTTGCATAGTATCATAATACTATTACTTAGGGAGTACACATATCCAAATATATGTTGCCAATTTCAGTGGTCAGCACAATATATTTCCTTTTTTCCTTAATTATTAGTATTTATTAGGAATTTAGGATTTTCCTTTTTTATGAACCGAACCCTACTCTTGTATGGATTTCCAAACAGCTATATATATAGAGATAGGAAAGATTACCTTTTCACTCAACATAAACAAACAAAAATCAAAGATCAATTATCTGAGAATATGCCTATGACGACGAAAAATTCTCCGATAGAATCTCTAAAACTCCCCACTGATTACTCTCGGGAGGAGTTTGAGAGAGCTTGCGAGTTCGTGAAGCAAGTAAAAGAGATTGATGAAGAACAAAACCACAGAGGAATCTTCATTCAATATGTCACTGCAATGAAGCTTTATCGATCTGGATCTTTGGACATGGTCGAGGTCAAAAACAGAATCACGACCATTTTCAAGAACTGCGACGTTTTGCTCGATGGCTTTCATAGGATTATGAAAGATTCGGATTGTCAAGACCATATCGTTGTTCTTAAACGAATGGTGGGGTTCTTGAAGGCGTTGGCGAAAGAGTCCGAGAGATTACGACTAGGGTTAATGGAGGCTTTCGTGAGATTCAAGGAACATAAAGATGGACAGGTTCTGAAGGAACAAGTTGACCTTATGTTACGAGATTACCCTTGTCTGAAAGAAGAATTTAGGAGGATACTACACGAGAACGGTTAATTTGGTACAAGATGATGAGAAACGAGAGGAGATTACGTTTGATAGAGAGGCTGAGATGTTCGAAGAAGAATTATTGCTATCTTTAGAAATCTTAGAAGGCCCGAGATTGTTCGGTTATGGTCTATGATTATAATTGTTCTTGCTATCTTTGGCAAAAAGCTTTTTGATTCCTCGTGTTGTAGCTTCAAGTTAAGATTAACATTGACCATTACAAAACATCATATATTATTCATTGATCATCGTAACAAACATTTGATCAAACTTAATTATCACAATTATTAAAAGTTCATTTAATTGACCACCTAACATATCGGATCAAGACAGCTCAACGGTCGAAGCTAACGATGAGCAACGAGAAAATCCAAGAAAGAATCAACGTAACGATCTTGTCTATCCAAATCTCCAAACAGTACTCCTTTCATATCCTTCACATTCTCTCTATAGACCTTACCTTCTTCTTCCTCCATTACCAATCTCAACGATTTCGCAACATTTTCTTTAGTGAAGAAACCTTCTGTCTCATCCCGAGGGATCATATACCCAAATTTCTTCTCCTCGAGTACTCTCGCATAAAATCCTTGGTCATACACAAAAGCCAGCATCACCATCGGTTTAGCAAACCGTATAGCTTCAATTATTGAACTCCAACCGGAATGAGTCAGTACCAAACCAATCGAATCATGGTTCAATGTTCTCAATTGCTCAACCCAACCTCTCCACACAGAGCCGTGCCCAGATATTTGGAGCCCGTAAACAGTAAAAAAAAAAAATAAGGCCCCAAAATAACGATTATCATCCCAAATTTATATAAAACTCATTCAAATAAAACAAATAATAAGCATGTGGTTCCAAAGTTATAACCATCATAATCCCAAATAAATAAATAAAAAACCATAACAAAAACCAATATATCAGTTTTAAAACATAACCTTTCTTTCCTTATTTCCAACAAAATCATTAACCAAGCTTTCCTATAATAAAAAAGATACTTAACAATTAGCAAATACCTTCTGTTTATCGTTTGTTTTGTTCTGAATAGGGTAAAAAGAAGTTGAGAAGTCTCAGAACTTTCGATAGAGAATAAAAACCCTAATATTTTATTATAGTTTAAATGAATTGATAATTAGTTGCTAAAACATTTTTTATTACTACTAAATATATATGAGACTATTAATATTTTGGGCCCTTCAATTTTTATAAAAAATTTGGGCCCTTAAACCAATGTTTCAAATTTTGTGCCATGGGCACGGTCCTGTCTCCACACCATCCCTCTCTCAGCCGTACGCTCTTCGAATCCTTCCGGAAGCTCAACCGGTTCAGTATCCCATGGACCACGGGTCCACGGCGAGTCTTTAACACCCAGAAAAAAGGTAAACCGGAAAGTTCTAAACCGAGAGCGATTGAATTTATCTCGGTTTGACTCGGTTTAGCTTCTGAACCAAAACCTACGTAGACAACAGAGTTAGTTCTCTGCGAGTCTAACCACTTTTTAATAAACAGCCACGTCTCAGTATCTTTAAACTCTTCTTCCGGTTTTGGAGGTAAAACTCCCACCGGTATAACCGGTTTCCGGTAAAGATTCTGCATAAGTTCCAACCACTCTGCTTCGTACTCATAACAACTTCGTACGAAGATGACATCACAACCGTCGATTGCGGCGGCGATACGGTCAATGTCGGGAATATTCCCTTCCGTTGAGTCCACCCACCATTACTCCTTTAAATAGACTCCCATTCGAATAACCGGAAATGTACCGGAGTTTTGAAGTACCAAAATTTTAGTTAAAATCTAGTATCATTTAGTTAAATTTCGTATATTTCGATTAAATTTCGTATATCTTAGTTATTTCTGTTAATCCAGATTTCGGTTAGATTGAGTAGATCACTTTTTTTTTTTGGTTAAAAAAAAAAAGAAAAAAAAAGCGAAGAATTGATCGGTTCAAGACTGTGGAACTGATCGGTTCGAGATTGTCGAACTGAACCAACAAAAATCAAAATAAGTTTAAAATTACGCCGATGGGTTTTCAAATATTCCTAAACCGAAACAACACCAAATTGATCAAAATTAGGTCCGGTCCTGATGTCCAACTTAGAAGGGGTTATTCAACAAAATATTGAAAAAGAATTCAAAGGAATAAAAAAATAATAATTTTTTAAACATTTTTAAGACTTTTACTTAATTATGTCCAAATGACAACTTAATTGTTTGGAATTAGTTCTTCACAATTTTTATAAAATCTTAAATCATCTTCTAGCTATAAAAAAAAAGTTTGGAGAACAACAATATTATACAATACGTACGTTAAACAAGGTAAAGATTGAGAAGTTATGTTTGGTTAGTTTATTTCTTTTTTTTTTTCTTTTTTTTTTAGTTTATTTCGTTTATTTGCTTTCGCATTTCTATTTTTAGAATCTTTTGTGTGATCGCATTATTAATAAATTTGTTTGCTTTTTTTTTATGATCTTGACTAGAGGGAGTTTGGCGTCTTTTGGCCTCTTGACCACTCATCTACAAGTACTCTTTGTATAGTTTGTATAGGATAACAAATGATCATGCTACATTGCTACCCAGTGTCTAAAACACAAGTGAAAGGTAATTTTACAAAAAAAAAAAAAATCCATCGATTTGTCTGAGATTTTGTAGAATTGGAGTTGAACACATTTAGAGTCGGTCCAATGATGAATCAAACATTATGCTAAGAAATTATATATGTTAAGTAATCTGCCTAAGCTAAGTTACACGTTATGCTACAAAGATTCACCAAAACTAAACACTACATGGTGCTACATGATTTACCTAAATTTTAAAACCGATAATTAATCCAAATGAAAATAATGTTACATAAGTATCATAATATTACTTAGGGAGTACACATATCCAAATATATTTATGTTATTGCTTACTATTTAAAAAGAAAGTGGAAATGAGTGTAAAAATATTATGTGTACGATATAATGATATTATCTCTAGTTTATGATGATCATATTATTATTTTTTCTTAACAAATTTTGAACACATTTTAATTTAACTGTTTTTGTCGACAATAGCGAAAAAAAAAAGGAGGTTTTGATCAGCACATGTCTTTGTTGCACATGTTGCCAATTTCAGTGGTCAGCACAACATATTTCCTTATCAATTAGAAGCTTCCTCGATGTCTACGTTACAAAGAATTTTCCTTTTTTAAAATATGTATTAGGAATTTAGCATTTTCCTTTTTTTCTGAACCAAACCCTAATCTCATATGGATTTCGAAACAGCTATATATAGAGATAGGGAAGCTTAGTTACCTTTTCACTCAACAGAAAAAAAAAACAAAGATTAAAGATCGATTATCTGAGAATATGCCTACGACGACGAGAAGATCTCCGATAGAATCTCTAAAACTCCCCACTGGTTACTCGCGGGAGGAGTTTGAGAGAGCTTGCGAGTTCGTGAAGAAAGTAAAAGAGATTGATGAAGAACAAAACCACAGAGGAATCTTCACTCAATATGTCACTGCGATGAAACTTTATCGATCTGGATCTTTGAACATGGTCGAGGTCAAAAACAGAATCACGACTATTTTCAAGAACTGCGACGTTTTGCTCGATGGCTTTTATCGGATTATGAAAGATTCGGATTTGGATTCTCGTCGAGACCATATTGTTATTGATCTGTCGGATCTTAAACGAATGATTGAGTTCTTAAAGGCGTTGAGGAAAGAGTCTGAAAGATTACGTCTAGGGTTTTTAGAGGCTTTCGTGAGATTCAAGGAACATAAAGATGGACAAGTTCTGAATGGAGAAGTTGACCTGATGTTACGAAATTACCCTTTTCTGAAAGAAGAATTTAGGATGATCCTACTCGAGAATGGTATAGTACAAGATGAAAAACGAGATGAGATTACGTTTGATAGAGAGGATGAGATGTTCGAAAAAGACATGTACTTTCATTCTATAGAATCAGCAATTAAGTTTGCGGCGGCGGAGGAGGATAAAAAGATGAAGAAGCCGCCCGCGGGTGTTTATGGAGCCATGAGACGGTTATATGCACAACGGCGTAGACCATTGCCACGAGGATTCCTGAGAGATCCGAAACTTGCGGTACGAAGAGTTTTATCACCTTTGCAGTGGAAGCACAACGAGTTGCTCAAGAAGAAGAACAGAAGAAAGTTGCTTAAGAAAGTGCAAAAGGTGAATGAATCATTGGTTGTTTTTAAGTTCGATTAAAAGATTTAGTAGTGTGTGTGTGTATTTTTTTTTTGTTAAGGAAAGTATTTGGTCTACTAGGAGTTTAGAGCTAATGAGCTCCGGATATTGTATCTACTTAAATGCATAATTAAGTACAAAACCTTTGTATGATTGATACTTGCCATTAGTTATTTTGGATGTTACCAAACTATACTTTGTTCATAATTTGGAAACTCATATACCAATTCTCAACCGATTTGATCACAATCTAACCGATGCAAACCAATGTGTTGAGATTTGCTACTTAAATCTAATATTTATTCATCTCTCTACGAACTATGTGGGGCTCATTATTGTTAGCTACGAAATGAATATTTTGTCATAGTTTACAAAACAGAGAGTATGCACAAGTTCAAAACAGAGAGACTACTTGAACATTATAAACTTGCAGTAACACTAAACTAAGCACCCAGAGGCAAAGCTGAGACTATGAACATAAACAAAATATTAACCAAAAATATACAATATATCATGAAATCTCCCAAGTGACTAGATGAAGCTCAACTACAACCGAAGAACAAACATGCATTTTCAGTGGAGATGATTATGAAAAACCCGCGAAGCCATCGCCCTCTAGACTAACAAGACACAACTCTTTAGAGAAACATGAGATTCTCAACCTGACCAGAGAAGATAGAGGTTGTAGACTTATCCCCATATCTTTTGTGATGAGTCCTTCTATGGAGACTTTTTTCACACTATTTTTTCTTGGGATCATAATACAGAACATTAAAAAGTCGTGAACATGCATACAAAGTTTTTGGTCCCAAAACAAACTCACCTGCATCAGTGATACAAAAGGCTTGCAAGAACCATTTAGTTATCCCAAGATCTAAAGCAGAAACCTTGTTGGACCATTCATGTTTCGCAGCATCCACTAGAACCCACAAATCGATCTTACCAGTAGAAGCATGTCCAGCAGGTCCAAAAGACATGACAGCAAGCTTTCCCTCGTATCTTGTCAGCTTGATAAGCGTTGCTGTCTTCGGTATTCTTATAAGATCAAAATTTTCAGATCTAAGACTTGTAAAGATCTACGTACCTGAAACCAATGATGAGCCAAGATAAAAAAAAATATGTCCACCAAAATTATAACAAGAAACCTTTGACAGTGACTTATATGTGGTCATGCAGAGAAAACCAAATCGTCGTGGTTTTCATTTTATGCACTTAACATATTTCAGCAGCCATCATATAAAAGCTACAGAAGGAATGGAAAAAGTTCATAACCATTACCTGCATTTTATCAAAATATGCATGTCGCTGTTGTTCAATGTATTTCCAGGCACCAACATCTACATAATTTAAACCAAATACATGATTCCAAAGTAATAACTAATAAGGGTATCCATGGACTGAATTAGGACAAAGACTAGCTCAAATCTAGGTTTGAAGTGGCAAAAGCAGCATATAAAACTTCTTCTACTATTTGAAAGTTCTTTTGTGTACCTTTGAGGAAGGATATTGTCGCAGGTGCGACTGTACTGACTCTAGGATCTGGCGGGTGCCCTTTCTCTTTTTGCATCACTCTCCTAAACCATTATTATATTATATAAATGATAACAGTTATAATGTTGATGTCCCAAACATGATCAAAACTACACTACATGACTAAAGTGAGCAGAGAAGACTACATACCAAATAAAGGATATCACAATTATAATATTGATGTCCCAAACATGATTAAAAAATACACTAAACTACATGACCACAAGTGACCAGAGATGAATTTGGAACAGCTGCACAGAATTTTTGATACTATACTATAACAAGAGTACAAAAATACAAGTATCTTTCCTGATTCTTCCAAGACAAGTATATGCAAATTCACAAGAACATAAAGAAGGGATCTTACATTGGAACCAGAACTAGAAACTTTATGTGTCACATGAGTTGAACAAGTCCTCTGCAAAATCTTTGCTCCACAGACATTTGTCCTAAGTTTCCTTGTAAGCACCCTGTCCTAGAGGCTAATTACATTAGACACAGCAATAAATAATATATAATGATATAATCTTGAGTGTTAGTATCTAAATAACCTGGATTCTAATAAATAAATCCAAATTCAAACATTCCCAGCCTCTAAACTGAACAAAGTAACGAAACAGTTAAGAGATTGCTGAAAACTTGACAGACACCACAAACATGATCATCACCGACAAAAGAGTAATAATACTTTCTCAACAAAACTAAAAGCAACCCAACATTAATTGATTAGCAAAAGATAAGAAAACAATTTAAATTATATTACAAGACAATGGATTCAAATTAGAAAAAAGAAACGCATAAGAACAGACGATTAAATTAAGGATGAAGAAAAGAGAATATTGAACCTGTTCATGGTAATTTTGCAGGTGGAGACCGAAATTGTGTTTCTTTCTCTGTCGTCGGCGTTAAGAACACTTGAAATGAAACTAAAGATGACGACAAACAAAAGCCTCTAAGCTACGGAGAAGAAGCTGAGCCTTTAAAACGACGCCGTTTTGTTGTCAAATTCAAGAGTCAAGAGTCAAGACCTAAAGAAAAAAAAAGTGCAGATGAGTAAAGTTGTTAACATTGGCTTTTTTCATCTGCGTGCGTGACGACTGACGAGACGAGGATTCAGCAAAACCAATCGCAAATTCATATACGACTCGGTTGAACCGTAATTCGGATCCGGTTATAGAATAACGCAGTCATAAACCCGGTTTTAATTGGTTCTGGCCTGGCCGCCCACTTTTAAAACTGATTCAGACGATGGAAACTGAGGAGAAATCTGGAGGAACGAAGAAGAACCCAAGATTGACTCAAAAATGTTGCGGCTTCTCCTTCGCAGCACAGTTTCGGTAAATTTTTATTTCATTTGAGTTATTTTTGGGTTGGTCCGAGAACCAGACGGAATTTAACCGAGTTTTATTGGCCTTTATTATCTCTTAAGAAACCGGACCGGTTTACTAAGAACCGATGGTCTAAAAGCTGTTTTTTTCACAAGTCATCAAAACACACTTTGCCAAATTGGTTACATCACACTTCAAATCCTATACTAATATTTGGAAGTACATCCTAAGGATCATAACTTAAATTTTGTAAGAAATTACAATATATGCCATTATATAATTCAAATCATAAAATTTATTTCATGTCACTAATATATATTAACGGGTCAACGGGTCAACGGGTCAACGGGTTTAAAGATATTAAAAGATTTTGTTTATATAATACATAATTAATATAATTCGAGAATGTTATATACTAATCAATATTCGAGATTATATAATACATAAAAATGTTATATAATACATAAAATATTTTGTTTATATAATATATAAAAATGTTATATACTAACATACTAATATATTATTCGAAAATGTTATTGAAAATTGAAAATGTTATTCAAAATGTTATATAGTAATCCATTATTCGAACATCTTATAAAAAATATCATTGAAAATGTTAATGAAAATGATATATCATTGAAAACATTTTATACCAATCCAATTTATAAGAAATAAAAAATGTTATTTTGAATTATAATACTCATATAGTTCGAAAATGTTATATAAATTGAAAATGTTATATAATTCTCCATTTTGTATCTGATGTATAGAATGTGTGCCCCACATGTGTAACAGAACAACAATAATATCTGATGCCAGCACGTGCAGCCCCACATGTGTAACAGAACTTGTGGTTGCAATGTCTGTGAGGAAATAAAAAAAGAGAGGTAATTAGAGTCAAAGAGTTACAAACAATATAAAACTGAACCTTCAAAGATGCGAGAAACTCACGTTGGGTCTACTTGCGTTGGATACGCCATTGTGAAGAATTTCCCTAGACCCAAGTTGGCGAAGATGTCTTGAACATCTTCAAAGAGGCCCGCTTCTTGTAGAAAACCGTGATCCGGATAGCCAGTGGGAGCAAATGGAATGCTCTTGAGCTTCATGAGGCGTTGGGAACTTGTTGGTGGCTTGGTGGGAGCTTTCTTCTTCTTGATTGTTTTCTTCAGTTTTGTAGAAGGACCTTCCTCATTCTCACTTTCATCATCGGGATCACTTGGCTCAACCATTTTTTGCTTGTCTTTCCGGGTTTGTGAAGGAGCTTGAGAGCTTGACGCTTGAGGTGCGTTTCGAGTTTTGGTACCCTTCGGGTTCTCTTTCCCTTTCCCTTTTGTTGTTGGAGGTATCACTTGTTCTTGTTCTTTCTCACCCGCACGTTTTGTAGTTTTCGTCATTAGTAACCTTCAAAATGATAGAAACACTTTCAAAAATATTAGTCTTGCTCATAATGAGCAACAAGCTTCAAGAGAGTTCAAAAAGTGTGATCAAATCATAAATGAAAGTATTATGGCATGAGAATCACAACTAAACAGTATTAGTCAGCACAAGTTCAAGAACAAAACAACACAAAACACCAACAACACAATTCAAGAACACCATCAATCACAATTCATCACTCACTTTTAAAACTTTAAACATGGGAAGGAGAAGAAGAGAAGAAAACCAGCTGAAAATCGATTTTGATTGGCCTTGGTTCACTTGAATTGAACCGGAGTAAACCGGTCGAAGAGAAAAGTCAACTTACCTGGACCATCAGTTGCGACATGAACGATGGAACTTGACCGTGGAGGCATCGGTGGTATTTAGCCCGAAGCACATGACCGTGGAAGTCGCTGGAATTTTCGAACAGAAGGACCCAGCGGTGAGACTCTAACCGATGTCTTGTGCCGATGGACAACTCCGTGTTAAGTTCTATGGACTTCCAACTCAAAACCAATTGGCTATGAGTGGAGTGGCCCATATCCCTTATATATTACTTAGGATCCCTTCCAACTTCCGATGTGGGACATTATGTCCTAATACGCCCCCTCGAGATGATGGCTCTTTGGCCATTAATCTCGGAATGTTCGGGCTTAGATCGACTGCATCAATTTTGGGCCTTGTCGATGATTGGACCATCTTTGGGTCAGATCGGGTTGGACATGTGTGGATCGGGCTCTGATACCATGTTAAGTTCTATGGACTTCCAACTCAAAACCAATTGGCTATCAGAGCAGTAAAAGATACCTAGAAACCTAAAAGCAGCCGCTCCCCTCATTTTTCTAATGAACTCCTGTACCAAATCCCAATTCTATCTCTTTCTCCGTCGATTTCAAGGTACAAAAGTCATTCTCACACTCTTTAAGCTTTCATTTCAAGAATTTGAATATCAAGCTTGTTTGAGTTTAATTTTGAGAGAGAGTGAGTTTTAATGGTGTTTATACTTGCTATAATCGATTCCCTAGCTCACATTGTGCTTTGATTGAAAGGAATTTTGAAATGTCTAGGGTTCTTGAGAAAAGAGAAAAACGAAAATTGTAGGGATTTTAGGGAATTGTGGTTTCCTTTGGTTGTATTAGGTTCCATAAAGCTAGGATTGACAATTGTTCTTGTTTTTTTCCAGACTTAGGAGGAGAGTAAATAAGAGCCTCATCTATCTGATTTCTAAGGATGACTAGAAAGCGCAACAACAGTGAAGAAAGAGAAGAGCAGAACAAGAAACTTCGAGTAGCTCAGGATAAACTTACCAGTGATGAAGCGTTGCATGAAGATTCTTATGAATCCATTACTCTGATAAAGTTTGGTGATTTGACTCTCTCGGATAAGATAATCTTTAAAGAAACAGATGGTGTTTCCATTCTAGATGGTCTCTTGAATTTTCGCCCTGTTGCTGTGAGAAGAGCGTGTAAGATAGATGAACTCTTTGAGAAAGCGGAAGTTGAGATGAAAAATCATTACCAGTGTGATCATCATCCGAACATCCTGCGCTGTTTTGGGGCATCTTACGACGATCGATTTGTCTACATTTGTTTTCAACAGTGGATCTGCACTCTGCGTGATCTGATCGACTATGGTATTCCTCAAAAGCGTGGAGCCTTTACTGATCATCAACTTCGGTTTCTTAAAGAGTTTTACAAGAGTTACCCATTGTGGAAAAATAAGGCTCCATCATCTCTTCCTCTATCTTTAATTCACTACAAGAAAACACTGTTATTGCAACGATATTTTTGCAATGACTGTATTCGTTAAAATTTTGTAACAAATTCTGCTATATTTTTGCAATGATGAGTGCACGTTACAATTTTATTGCAAGTTTATTGTAAAATCACAACAAAACAATTTGTTGCATTTTTCTGTTGCAAATTAGCAAGATTATTACGACATGTAAAAATGTCTCGCAGAATTTGCAAGAAATATTCAACGATTATGAGTTATGACTATTTTGCAAGAAAATTATAGCAAATATATGTCACAGAATATGTGACACTTTTGTCACTATATCTACAACAATTTATAATTCTTTTGCAACATATACTTTCTACAAAAATTACGTTAATATATATTCACATGTTTTTAACTCAATTACATTCTGATATATAATTATTTTGTATAAAATTATTTGAATTTAAAATATCTTTAATGTTTTTGTAAATCTTTTGATTGTTGAATATTCGGTTTGATTGCAAAACATATAAGTTTGGTTCGGTTTATGTAATTATTTAATTACGAAAGCAGTGTTTGGTTTAGAGTTGATGAACATTTGTATGCGGTTTAGATTTAATGAATATATTACTTATCTAAATTAGTATATCACGTGATCATTCTCTATATATTATGGTTTGTAGCACAAACAAAATATGACGTGCATTTATCATTATCCAAGTAAAGAAAAAATATTAAAATACATTAACGAAAGACTTTTGTTGTAAGTCGTAAGACATGATGATTATTCCTTTTGCAATAACTTAATAATTAATAAACAAAACAAGCTTCAATTTTGAAGAGGTAGAAGAAGCAATTGTTCTGCAAGGTGTTACGTATAGTTACGACGCAGCCAAGCCACGTAAGGTCTCTCTCATATCTTCATGACGTGAGCTTTCCTTAACAAACTCCAATAAAATTTTAGAATTAAAAGAAAAAAAACAGAAAGAAGTAGTGGAATCTATTGTAATTATCTTTTCTTTATTTTGAAATTATCCCTTAGTAAATAAAATAAATTTACAGTGTTTTTAATATTTTCCTTTTCCATATAGGGTACAGAACTTATTATATATAGAAAAAAAAAAGACACACACAATAGAAAACGAAAGAGAAGTCGTTGAAGGAGGTAGAGATTGAAAATTCTTTTTCTTCACACTAGTAATTCGACAAATTTCGTTACATGTTCACCGCTTCTTTGCTTAAAACCAGTTTTACAAGAGTTAAGGTTAATTTTTTCTCCTCTTTATTTGATTTTGGATTTACTCAGCTTTATTTTTTAATTTAATTTTATTGCGTATATGCAGAAGTGCTTGATTTCTTAAATGTCTTCGAGTAATGATAATAACGCTTTACGGCAATGGATGTATGAAAAAAGGGATCCAATAACCAATCTAGTCTCAGATGCATTCCTAGATGGATTGAAAGAGTTCATGACTGTTGCTAAAAACCATAACTTATATATTCAGAAGAAGGTAATGTTTTGTCCGTGCACTAAGTGTGAGAATGGCCATGTTTTTTCTGAGGAGATAGTTACTGGTCACTTATATAACAGAGGTTTTATGGCCAACTATTTTGTTTGGGTTGCACAAGGAGAAGACTATAAGACTGATAATCATATCGATGAAAATACAAACATGCCCGGAGAATTTTCTATGCATTCTCAAAACACTTATGTCGAGATGGTTACAGATGCTTTTGATGGGCGTACGTCATCTAATCAGAATATGGAAGAAGAGCCCAACGAAGAAACTAAAAAGTTTTTCAACTTGTTAAACGCAAGTCATGATCCAATATATGCTGGATGTCGAGAAGGGCTTTCACAATTGTCATTGGCGTCTCGATATATGACTCTGAAAACAGATTATAATTTATCAGAGAAATGCATGGATTCCATTGCTCAGATGATGAAAGACTACTTGCCTAAAGATAACAAAGCCCCTGACTCATACTACGACACAAAGAAATTAATGCGATCTCTGAGTTTGCCTTACGTGAAGATTGATGTGTGTCAGAAGATTAGTGAGGGATTTGAGAAGAATGTAGCTGATCTTTTTGAAGATGAAATCCCACCAACCGAGGAGCTAACTCATGACAAAAAGAATGAAATGTATTTAAAGGTAACATAATAATTTCTTTAAAATTTCTATTGATTCTCAAATAGTCTAAGTTGTCTTACAAACATTTTACTATATACTACAGATTGTGGAGGCAACAAATGGTCGTGTGTTCGGTCTAGGAGCTCTTCTCAGTGAATTCTCCGTCAAAGGTGGAGTTTCGGCTATCTTTGAAAATCACGTAGAAAATGAGGCGGCTTTCAAACAAAAATTAGAAGAGCTTTATCAAGAGAATTTGGAAATCAAAGAGAGGCTAAACAAGCTTGAAGGACTCGAGAAAATGCTCGAGTTATTGTGCCCTCGTCTATCCTCTACTGGTGTAAACAACTAAGTGAACACTTAGTTGTTTTAGGCTTTTAGGTATGCTTTTTAAGTTTTTATTATGAATTTAGTTTTTATTTATTGCTGGTTGTTTTCTACTATTTTTTATTTATGCATTGCTGGAATATTTCAATATTTGATTATTTAATAAAATAAGTATTTTATTTTACTATTTTATTATTAGAATATTTATTTTATTTTAATAAAATATTAAATAAACAATTTTAAATTAATAACTAATGTGCTGAACAAAAAAATATAGCAAAATACATTGATTAACACTAATGTTGCCAAATGAATTGCAACCTTACGAATATGCAATGGATTTGCGACTACACATATGTCATAATAATGCGACGAATATAATTTGCAGTAGCCATATTTGCAACAGTTTTTGTTTTGATCATCGTCATAAAATATATGCAATAATCGTATATGAAAAAATAAAATACTGCAAATTTGCAACAATATTTGCTTTATATATGACGTAGCTTTTAATTATGACGATTCATAGTTGCACTAAAACATCGTAATTATACCACGATTTTGCTGCATAAATATTGTTGCAGTAATACAACATATATAGCAATAAATTACTTCATTGTAAATTTGTAATGATATTTGCTATACGTTATATGTGGCAATAAATTGTAACAATTAAGAGTTGCAAAAGTACGTCACAATTGTACGACAAATTTACTACAATAGTAATGTTGCATTAATACGACATATATTGCAAGAAGCTAGTTCATTGTAAATATTGCAACATATGTGCAACAAATGCGAATTTGCAACGCTCAAACAGCAACAATACAAAATGTGTCTCAATTTTGTTGCAATGTTATGATCTGCAACGATATGTTGAATTATTGCAACAAATTGTACTGTTGCAATATCACTATTTTCTTGTAGTGATTAAAGATATCTTCTCAGGCGTTGCACAGCTTCATAGTGATGAGTTTATCCACAGGGGTCTTACTCCAGATGCAGTTTTCATCATATCTTCAAAGAAGACTGTATTTGCAACAATTGGAGCTCTTGGTTCGACTTTGCAGCCAAGTAAAAAAAACAGAGAAAGATTATTCTGCAGATGTTTTTGCATTGGGTTGTTTGGTCTTCTTTGCTTTACTAAAGGGTAAAGATCCGTATTCGGATGAGCATAAGCGCGTCCCCGTGGAAACTGCATTTAAGGAACTTCTAAAGAATTTCCCTGAAGCTCATCACCTCATATCCCAAATGCTGGACCCAAAGGATTCATTACGGTAGTAGATGAAAACATTTGTACAAACGTTTGACTATATTTGTACAAACATTTGTACAAGCTATGCCCAAACGTTTTTATAAAAAAATCTGTATTATGAAAACATTTGACTATATTTTTGTACAAAAACCTTGTGTATATACACTGGCAAAAAAGCACATATCTACAAAAATAAAAAATTGTTAAAATTACTTTGTAATGACTAGTTGTGACGAATTTTTTATATTAAACATGTGTGTCTAATTTTGTGACTAATGAAACAATTTGACTAATAGTTGTATATAAACACATTTGTCATTGGCAATAAAACACACATATATATGTATCTAATAAACTAAATTAAAAAAAATGTAAAAAACATTATAGTTCTTCCAATATATACACTTTCTTTGGATTCACTTTCAAACAGAAAATTTTCACAAATGTTACCGTTTTTTTAAATTAACTTCACATTATAGCAGACCCTATAATATGGTATGGACTTACTACTATATATGTGTCTAATTAACAAAATTGTAAAAAAGGTAAAAGATATTACAGTTTTTCTAATATTAATTACTACTTTTGGGAGATTTGATACTGTTTGACTTTACTGTTCACTATCAAACAAAACATTTTTCACCGTTGAAACAAAAAAATAAATTTGTAAATCGTTGAATTAAATTAAAGGAATAATCTACAAAAATCTCCACATTATAGCATACCTTATAATCTGGATTTTCTTCCTATACCGTTAAAAACTTTAAGTGAAACAATCAGAATCGTTGAATTAAAATTAAAAAAAAAAATTACAAAATACTCCACATTACAGTAGAGACCAAAATCTAGATTTGCTATTAAATATAATATTTTGACAAATGTCAAGACCCCGTTACATTTTCTATATATAATCTTTAAATCAACCGCTAGCTTTAACCTTCACGTTGAGGACAAACACCAAAACCTTTTCGGGGTTTTGTCAAAGCAGGATCAGACCGGGTCGGCTAAAAATTGGGTGATGTACCGGATTGTTTCTGTTTTCATCTATGGAATGCGTGGGAAGAGAGAACCGAAGACAGAGACCCGGTTATTGTCGTAATCGGTTCGTGTATGAGCCCACCCGATACAATTTTCAGTGAATCTGGAGAACCGACCCGGATTGAATTAAGCGAGATTCGGTTAAACATGCGTACAAAAGAATCGAACCGGAGGGTTATTGTAACCGGGATTAATTTAGAAGCGGGTCACATAAACAAGAGTTTCGTGGGCCGGAAAAACCGGTTCGTTTACTTAGCAATAGCCGATCCTTGGCCCAGATGCAGTGGCATTGCAAAGGTAAATATTGAAAACGGTACCATTTCAGAGTTTAATTACGGACCGGGCCGGTTCGGCGGCGAACTGTATTTCGTACCGGAAGAAGGAGAAGAAGACAAAGGGTATGTAATGGGGTTTGTGAGAGATGAAGAGAGAGACGAGTCGGAATTCGTGGTCGTCGCCGCGACTGATATGAAGCAAGTCGCGGCGGTGCGGTTGCCGGAGAGAGTACCGTACGGTTTTCATGGAACGTTCGTCAGCGATAATCAGTTGAAGGAACAAGTTTTTTAACTTAGGAGTGTATGTATATATATTCATAATTATGCTATCTCCTCTTATTAGGTTTAAATTTTTAATTAGTTAATGTGTTGATATTTTTGATTATAAGAAAGGAGTTACATCTTCTTTATCCTCATTATTATTTATGGTATGATATATTCTCTTAGTGTATAAAAAAATCTCTTACCGTATTAGGTTTATCGTAACGTGAAAAAAGCTTGAAGCATAGGTATACTATCACTCTCATGATCATTTCAAAAAATTTAACACTTTTTTATATTACATCCAAAACATTATACGACTATGTAACAAGTTTGGAATTCTTGGTTAATTGTCAATTAGAACTTAGAAGCAACCCAAAAATCAATGTCCCACCACGTGATCCAAAAGCAAAGCCTTAATGTTTTATATTCAACTCGTTTGATTGTAAATTTGTAACTATTAGCATTACGTTTGAAGTGGTCCATTTTTCATCTAAAGTTTAACTATTAATGTAGAAATTATATAATGTGCAGCCAATAAAAAATGTCACGAGAGTGATATATGAATGATAATCATCACTTACTAAGTGACTATAAAATCCACATAAACCATGGGCCATTAGTTTTGTTTGTAATGACATTTTAATTAGTACAATGTCCTCACCATGGATTCTCGAATGAGTCTTTGCTTAGTACGCTCTACCGAGGAGTTTAATTTGTCCAAGTATCGAATGCTTCTCGATACCGCTAGCAATGGTAACTTTTTGGGACAAGGAGCGGAACAAGGGTTGTTGCTTGTGGAGAACCTAGCTCAAAGCGATGGTAATTATGGAGAAGATTATGATCGCACATCAAGAGATAATAGCGAGATGAATGATCTTCACCGTAAGAAATCAAGAACTTGAATGAGAAAATCGAGAAGTTGTTCCTAGTAACTCAAAAGCCCGTCAACTATGTAGGAGAATGTGATGGGTATCAAGGTTATCAAGAGATTGGAGTTGAGAATTGTGTAGAAACTCAAGAGGAGCTCAACTACATTGGTGGTCAAGGATTCAACAAAGGCTTCAATCCCAACTACCGAAACCATCCCAACTTCTCCTATAGAAACCCGAATGTGGAGAATCCCCAAGACCAAAGCTACCCTCCAAGGTAGCTTTCAACCTAAGCCTCAATTCAACCAACAAGGGAACTTCCAAGCTAAGCCTCAATTCAACAACAACCAAGCCTTCTACCCTCATCAAGGTCAAAGTAGTTCTTCTAAGCCAACATCTAAGGAAGATGAGAACAATGCTCTCTTGAAGCAACTACTAGAAGGACAAGGAAGAGGAGCAATAGAACTCGCCACTATGAACAATATTAGAATGGCGGGGATAGATAACAAAGTTGATGGAATATACAAGGAGCTTCACGCTAAGGTTGAACAATTAACTTCCCAAGTCAATCAAATGACTAACCAAGCCTCTTCAAAGCGTCCAATGGGAGTCTTACCGGGTAAGTCCGAATCAAACCCTAAGGAATACATAAATGCTATTACACTTAGGTGTGGTAAAGAACTTCCTAGTGGAGAACTCAATAGGGACATTGAGAATAAAGATAGGGGGGTAGTGATTGAGATTGATGATGAGGAAGTTTTGAATGAGAAGAGTAAAGAAGATGAGGTTGTGGTTGAGAATCTTAAGAAAGATAAGGGAAAAGGTAGAATGGATGAGGAGGTTAGTGAAGAAGTAGTCAAGGAAAAGACTACTAAGAAAGAAAATCTTTTTGTGCCTCCACCTTATGAACCGAAACTTCCTTTCCCGGGTAGATTTAAGAAGCAACTCATGGAGAAGTATAGAGCTTTGTTTGATAAACAAATGAGTGAAGTCACCGTGACTATGCCTATTTTTGATGCGCTTGTGTTAGCTCCAACATACAACAAGTTTCTCAAGGATGCATTGAAAGAGAAACAAAAAAAATTAGAGGGAATGGTAGTCTTGACTCATGAGTGTAGTGCTATCATTCAAAACAAAGTGGTAGCAAAGAAAAGAGATGATCCCGGCAGTTTCACTCTCCCTTGTGCTCTTGGTCCTCTTTATTTTAACCGTTGCTTGTGTGATTTGGGAGCTAGTATTAGCTTGATGCCTCTCTCGGTAGCAAAGCGTTTGGGATTCACAAGGTACAAGGAATGTAGAATCTCTCTTGTGTTAGCGGATCGTTCGGTTAGGACACCGGTTGGACTTCTTGAGAATCTTCCCGTGATGGTTGGTAACTTTGAGGTACCCACGGATTTTGTGGTTCTAGAAATGGATGAGGAGCCTAAAGACCCATTACTCTTTGGTCGTCCGTTTTTAAGTACCGCGGGAGCAATTATTGATGTGAAGAAAGGAAAGATAAGTTTGAATTTGGGTAAGGAGACCCTATCCTTCGATATAAATAATGTGATGAAGAAACCCACCATCGAAGGCCAAGTGTTCTATATTGAAGAAATGGATGCATTGGCGGATGAGCTTTTGGAGGAACTCACCTTAGAAGACTCCCTCCAAAGTGCTTTAACGGTTAAACAAGAAGAGTTTGGTTTGCTTGAGGATGATAGTGAAGGGTATGAAAAGATTCTCGATTCCCACAAGCTTTCTCAAGGGAATGAGATCTTTCTTGGATTGACACAAGCAAATCAAGAAGTGAGTGCACTTGAGGTTGAAAAAGTGACTAACGTGGAAGAAGCTAGCAATGGTAAGACTGGCGTTGATGGAGATTGGAGTGAACTCAAGGCTCCAAAAGTCGATCTCAAACCTCTTCCCAAAGGGCTAAGGTACGCATTTCTTGGAACAAACTCTACTTACCCGGTGATAATCAATGAGAATCTTAGTGATTTAGAGGTCTCCACCATTCTAGGAGAATTGAAAAAGTTATGACTTCCGTTGAACATCAAAGGCGGTTAAACCCTAACCTTAGAGATGTGGTTTCGGAAACAGATTCTAAAACTCTTAGATGCGGGAATCATTTATCCAATCTCGGATAGCACATGGGTGTCCCCGGTTCATGTGGTACCAAAAAAGGGTGGAGTCACGGTTGTTAGGAATGATAAAGATGAGTTGATTCCAACTAGAACAATAACGAGACATAGGATGTGCATAGATTACCGGAAATTGAATGCCGCCTCTAGGAAAGATCATTTTCCTTTACCGTTTATTGATCAAATGTTAGAAAGGCTAGCGAATCACTCGTTTTATTGTTTTCTTGATGGATATTCGGGATTCTTTCAAATTCCGATTCACCCTAATGATCAAGAAAAGACGACATTTACATGTCCTTACGGTACCTTTGCTTATCGAAGGATGCCGTTTGGACTATGTA